GACGGGCGACGGGGACCCGCGCGTCGCCCCCCGTCGCCCGTCGCGGCCTGCGCGACCTGCGTAGGGCCCGCGCGCGGCCCGTACAGCCTGCGCGCGGCCCGTACGGGCTGCGCCAGGCCAGGGCGCGCCTCGGGCCGCCCGTGCGCGGTTCGTACGGGCTGCGCCAGGCCCGTGGGCGCCCTGTTACCTCTTCCCCTGAGCTGCCCGCTGTCCCCCGTGCTTCTGACGGCGCCCCACCCCTGCTGCTGCCCGTTCTCCTGAATTAGGGTTTGGGGTGGGGGGTATGGGGGTGCAGTTTCTGTGTGCCGTCCCCTGCTCCTCCTCCTCCTCCGTCTCCCAGTGCTGCAGCTGCCGCTGAGGGGGGTGGATCTGTTGGAGCCGTCGGAGTGGTACTAAGGGGTGAAGGGGGAGTGGAGCTAGGGGTGAAGCAGGGGGTGTGTGTCAGGGGGGGTGGGACTGTTTGGGGAGGCTGAGAGGAGGCTGCCGTCTTGTCGTCCGCAGCACCTGTAGTCCGGGGCGCTGTCCTGGTAGCCCAGAGAGCCTGCTGCGCCTGTCGCCCGTGGGTCCGTTGCTCCTGTAGCTCCTCGTAGCCCGTGAGCCAGTTACTCCAGTAGTCCGGGGCGCTGTCCCGGTAGCCACTGTGCCAGCCGCTCCTGTTGCCCGTGTGTCTGCAGCTTCAGCCGTCGTCTCCCATCTTCTCTCCTCTCACAGTCCCTTCTCCTCCTCACTTGCCCGCTGTGACTACCACTAGCTTTGCTCATAATTGTGAACTACTGCTATGCTTGCTCATTGTGCTGATTACACCCCACTTTGGCTATGGGGGTGTGTCAGAATGTTATAATTGTCTAGCCTGCAGTGGGGTACTCTATAGTGAGTACAGCCCAATTAGGGTTTGCTATATGTATCCAACTGCTTGCTAGTGAAACCCCTCCTTTCTTCATTTCTGTTTCTCACTGCTAGTTTCTGACAGTACGGGCCGCGTGCGGGCTTGGCGCAGCCCGTACGAGCCGCGCGCGGGCCTGGCGCAGGCCGTACGGGCCGCGCGCGGGCCTGACGCAGGCCGTACGGGCCGCGCGCGGGCTGTACGGGCCGCGCGCGGGCCTGGCGCAGGTCGCGCGGGCCGCTACGGGCGACGGGGGGCGACGCGCGGGTCCCCGGAGCGCTGCGACGGGCGACGGGGGGCGACGCGCGGATCGACGGGGCAGAAAACCGCCGCGCGCCCAACGCTGCGAGCCCGGAGCGCGCGGCAGGCAGGAAACAGCACGCGCCCGGGGCGCGCTACAGGCAGTAGAGCAGGGGAAGCATCGGGTGGGGCCCACCCACAGGATCGACCCAGGAGGGTCGACCTGCTCTGATAGCATGTCGAAACAGCAGGCTAAAACGAGAAACAAGAAAGAGGAGTTTTCACTAGCATGCAGTTGAGTACATATAGAAAACCCTAATTCGGGCTGTACTCGCTATAGAGTACCCCACTGCAGGCTACAGAAACATCACATTCTGACAGGTGTTTTTGAGCATGGCCCACCCGAATTGTTAGAATCTAGAAACTGCACCCCCATACCCCCCACCCCCAAACCCTAATTCAGGAGAACGGGCAGCAGCAGGGGTGGGGCGCCGTCAGAAGCACGGGGGACAGCGGGCAACGCAGGGGCAGAGAAAACAGGGCGCCCACGGGCCTGGCGCAGCCCGTACGAACCGCGTGCGGGCGGCCCGAGGCGCGCCCTGGCCTGGCGCAGTCCGTACGGGCCGCGCGCGGGCCTGGCGCTGCCCGTACGGGCCGCGCGCGGGCCCTACGCAGGTCGCGCAGGCCGCGACGGGCGACGGAGGGCGACGCGCGGGTCCCCGTCGCCCGTCGCAGTGCCTCCCGGGAGCGACGCGCGAAGTGACGGGGCAGAAAGCCGCCGCGCGCCTCGGGGCGCACGGCGGGCAGAAAACCGCCGCGCGCCTCGGGGCGCACGGCGGGCAGAAAACCGCCGCACGCTCCGAGCGCGCGGCGGGATGAAAAATCCGTCGCACGCCACGGGGCGTGTAACACACAGAGTAGCAGTAGCAGCGGAAGCAGTGAGGTGGTGGGCCCACCCACAGGATCGACCCAAGGGGATCGACCTGCTCTGATAGCATGTTAGAATCTAGAATAGAACGAGAATGGATGAAACTAGGTAGGAGGGGGATACAAGTAGGAAACCCTAACAAAGCTGTACCCCCTAAGGCTAAACCCTCTATAGCCTACACAATATAAACATATAATGTTTGACACGAATATGCAACGACATTCAGGTCGTTCGACGCTATTCTCTGCGCCTATAGGGATCCGAGCGCTTCCTTAGCATTTGTCGGCAGACGCGGCCGTCATCGCAGGCGCCGAACTTTTCTATGCGCGCGAACCAAGCCGGAATTGCTCTGGTAGGTGTATTTGAGCATGGGCAACTCAAATATGAAACAACATTCAGGTTGTTCGATGCCTTTTGCTATGCCTATAGGGATCCGTGCACTTCCTTAGCATTTGTCGGCAGACGCGGCCGTCATCGCTGTCGCCGAACTTTTCTCTGCGCGCGAACCAAGCCGGAATTGCTCTGGTAGGTTTATTTAAGCATGAGCCATCCGAATAAGCAACAACATTCATGTCGTTCGATGCTTTTCCCTACGCCTGTAGGGATCCGTGCGCTTTCTTAGCATTTCTCGGAAGTCGTGGCCGTCATCGCAGGCGCCGAACTTTTCTGTGCGCGCGAACCAAGCCGGAATTGCTCTTGTAAGTGTATTTAAGCAGGGGCCATCCGAATAAGCAACAACACTCAGGTCGTTCGACTCTTTTCCCTACGCCTATAGGAATCCGAACGCTTTTTTAGCATTTGTCAGCAGACGCGGCCGTCATCGCAGGCGCCGAACTTTTCTATGCGTGCGAAGCATGCTTCCGGACGCGAGCATGCTTCCGGACGCGAGCATGCTTCCGGACGCGAGCATGCTTCCGGACGCGAGCATGCTTCCGGACGCGAGCATGCTTCCGGACGCGAGCATGCTTCCGGACGCGAGCATGCTTCCGGACGCGAGCATGCTTCCGGACGCGAGCATGCTTCCGGACGCGAGCATGCTTCCGGACGCGAGCATGCTTCCGGACGCGAGCATGCTTCCGGACGCGAGCATGCTTCCGGACGCGAGCATGCTTCCGGACGCGAGCATGCTTCCGGACGCGAGCATGCTTCCGGACGCGAGCATGCTTCCGGACGCGAGCATGCTTCCGGACGCGAGCATGCTTCCGGACGCGAGCATGCTTCCGGACGCGAGCATGCTTCCGGACGCGAGCATGCTTCCGGACGCGAGCATGCTTCCGGACGCGAGCATGCTTCCGGACGCAAGCATGCTTTTGTCCGCGTAGCATGATTTCGTGCGAGATGTCCGGCTTCAGCCCCCCAACGTAACGGTCCACCCGCTCCGCTTCGTGCATGTAGCCAACTTGCTCGCATAATGCGAGAAAACCACTCGTATAGTCTTGAACCGACCTGAGCTGCCGCCAAGTACGCAGTCTCTGACTCGCCGAAATAGAAGCCGCGATCGGCTCGAAGCGCGCTCGAAGCCCTGCGCACCATGCATCCCAAGTGCTGTACTGGGCGGTTTCGCAAAATGAACTCCAGGTGACGGCTGGACCCGTGGGCCCTTCCTCTTGCGACGGTGGCTCGTAGGCGCGTGGCGACGTCACGATGACTCGCCACGAGTCCATGGCGGGGCCCCTCAACAGCGAGACGGCATATCGGATCTTCGCTGCGTCCGACTCGACGTAGTTCGCGTCGAAAAAAACGTTCATCGTGAAGACCCACGATTGAACCGTCGGACCTCCACGCTGGCTCGGGTCGAAACAGGGCGGGCGCTGTGGCTTGAGTGGCATCGGTGCCATAATGGCGTGGTCGCCACTTGTCGCTGCAAACTCCACGTGCAGACGGGCTTCGCGAGGCTCTCGTGGGCTTGGTGCGGCCCTGTTCCTCTCCATGCCCGGCATTGATTGAGCGGCGCCAATACTGGCTGCACCTGAGCGCTGTCCCACGCTGTCATTTTGTGTCGGTGTGCCTGATGAAATGACAATCGGCTCCTCCGATTGTGCAGGTGCATTTGCAAGTGCGTGTGGTGGTGCTGGAGCATGCACTGTGGATTGCTGACGAGCAGAGTCGCGTTCCGCTGTGAGTGTCGCAATTTCGGGCGTCGAATCTTCGATTTGGCGCACGAGACGGTCGAGCTTCTCCTGCGTCAGTGTCGCGAGAGTGAATTTGGCCATGGCGGGGGTGTCGGGCAAGCTCAGCGAGAGCCTCTGTCATGGCCGTGCGTGCTTACGGGAGAGCACTTCGAGCGGCGGTGCTTGTTTCGCTGAGAGACGTCTACCCCCCCCCAAAACATTGAGATAAGCGAAGGTGTGGGTGCGATCCGAGAGGAGATCGTAGGCTCTGAATACCAAGTGTTACGAGTGCAATTGGGCGAGCGAGCGAGGACTGCACTATCGAAGCAAGAGTACAATGAGCGAAGGCATGAGCGAAGAATATATAGCGAAACTACAGTGGTAACGGTAATGTGTGGAAAATGGGGTGCGTGACGGGCCTAGCGCCGAGGTTGGGAAAATGTCGAGGCGGAGGTCCGGAGCGCGGGTTACCAACCGAACAGTGAGGTTGGGTCGCGTCGTGAACAGTGGCGGAAACAGTGTCGAGGCGAGTGACGCGAGTGGTAACGGATTACTGTTGGTTGCTTTTGGCGGGAACAGTGGTGTACGCGCTGAGCAGGGACGCGAAGTTAGGAAAAGGAATTTTCCTTACACCGATCCTGAATTCTTGGAAGAGTTCGTTCTAAGAGGCCATTAGAATATTTCTGTAAATTGTCCTGACTGCTTTCTTCGTCATGTCGTGATTCACGTGATGATCTACTTCTCGTTCTAGATATATCCGCATGACCCCAGACGCGTGCCTAAGATTACTCTAAAAACCCGATACTCAGCAGATCGCGGTAGATCGCCGCACAGCGCCATGAGCATGCGCCCCGCGCGCTCCGGTGCCCACGTGCCGGCCCTCCTGCGCGCCGTGGGCAGGGCGTATTGGAACCACTCGCCGCTTCCCGCGTCGGCAGCCGCATCCCAGCGCCTCGTCCCAGACCATTCCGGTTCCGCCCCTCGCCGTCCACCCTCTCACCCGCTCGCCTCTCGCCCGTTTCTGTCCCTTCCTCCGCCCGCCCCTCTACTGCTGCCCGCCTTACTCCGCCAACCCCCTGCCCGCCACCTGTGCACCGAGGGGCCTGCGGTCGGCAAGGCGCGCGAGCAGACAGCGGGGACAGAAGCAGCAGCGGCTGAGGCTGAGGGGGGAATGGCGCAGGGTGCGGGGCAGGAGGCGGAGGGCAGAGTTGGCGGCGAGGGGAGTGCGCAGGAGGAGGAGTGGCGGCGGCAGGCGGAGGAGGCGCGGGAGCGGCTGCTGCGCGCGTACGCGGACATGGAGAACCTGCGCCAGCGCGCCCAGAGAGACGTCGACGCCGCGAGGCTCTTCGCCGTGCAGGTGCCACCCGTGCAGGTGCCACCCGTGCAGGCGCCACCCGTGCAGGTGCCACCCGTGCAGGTGCCACCCGTGCATGTGCCACCCGTGCATGTGCCACCCGTGCAGGTGCCACCCGTGCATGTGCCACCCGTGCAGGTGCCACCCGTGCAGTGCTGTGTGCTGGCAGCACAGGCCGTGCAGTCTGCCTCGTGGCCGTCTTGAATGGGTCGCTCCCTCTTAGCTACGCCCCATGCCTTGCTTCGCTCTTATACGGCCTCTGCATCCCCGTAACCTACTGCTTGTGCCACCTACGCTGCTGCCATGCCATGCGCTGCAGCGCTGTGCTCTCATCCATACACCTCCTAACAATGCCTTGCTTCCTGTCATACTCTCTGGGCTACGGTATGGGCGTGGCATGGCATGGGGATGGGCATGGGCGTGGCATGGCATGGCATGGCATGGCATGGCATGGCATGGGCATGGGGATGGGCTTGGGCGGGGCGTGGCATGGCACGGCATGGCACGGGCGGCAGGGGTTTGCCAAGGGGCTGGCGGACGTGGCGGACAATCTCTCTCGGGCTGCCGCCTCTGCCTCCCTGCCGCCACACCCCGCCTCCCCCGGCAGTGGGCAGGGCAAGGGCGGGGAGGGTGGGGGTGGGCGCGACCCGGAGGCGCTGCTGAAGTCGCTGTTGGATGGCGTGGAGATGACGGAGAAGCAGCTCATGCAGGTGCCACCCCACGCCCCTGCATGCACGCCACCCCACGCCCCTGCATGCACGCCACCCCACGGCCCTCCCTCCATGCACGCCACCCCACGCCCCTGCATGCACGCCACCCCACGGCCCTCCCTCCATGCACGCCACCCCACGCCCCTGCATGCACGCCACCCCACGGCCCTCCCTCCATGCACGCCACCCCACGCCCCTGCATGCACGCCACCCCACGGCCCTCCCTCCATGCACGCCACCCCACGCCCCTGCATGCACGCCACCCCACGGCCCTCCCTCCATGCACGCCACCCCACGCCCCTGCATGCACGCCACCCCACGCCCCTCCATGCACGCCACCCCACGGCCCTCCCTCCATGCACGCCACCCCACGCCCCTGCATGCACGCCACCCCACGGCCCTCCCTCCATGCACGCCACCCCACGCCCCTGCATGCACGCCACCCCACGGCCCTCCCTCCATGCACGCCACCCCACGCCCCTCCATGCACGCCACCCCTTGCAGCTTCCTCTGAAGCTGTGTGTTTGCCATGCACCTGTGTTTGCCATGTACCTGTGTTGCTGTGTGCGTCCATGTGTGTGCGCGCACTTGTAATTGTGCGTGCATTCATGTGTGTGAATGTTTGGCTGTGCATGCGTGCATCTGTGCTGGTGCGTGCATGTGTGGTGGTGCGTGCATGTGTGGTGGTGCGTGCATGTGTGGGTGGTGTGGTGGTGTGAGTGAGAGCGGCACGTGGCAGGTGTTTCGGCAGCATGGCATGGAGCGCCACGACCCCATGGGGCAGCGCTTTGACCCCAACCTGCACAACGCCGTGTTTGAGCTCGACGACCCCACCAAGGAGCCCGGCACCATCGCCCACGTGCTCAAGGTACCATCACAGCATCGCCCACTGCAAGAGACCGATTGTTCATCCTGCTTGCCTGCAATCGCTGCTTGCCTGCAATCGCTGCTTGCCTGCAATCGCTGCTTGCCTGCAATCGCTGCCTACCTGTGCCCCTGTGCGCCTGTGCCCCGGTGTGTCTGGCAGGTGGGCTACACTCTTCACGGCCGTGTGGTGCGCCCAGCCGATGTGGGCGTGGTCAAGGGCAGTCACGCATAGTCCATGCACGCGTGGCGATGGTCAGTCAAGCGCTCTCAACCCTTGGCTTGGCCCACTGCCCAGCTGGTCACTGCATGTGGTCACTCTGCTGCTGAGACACATAGGAACCCTAAACCCTGCATGCTGGCAGGCGGGTAGATGTCGCTTAGGAGGAAGTGCAGTGTAATGCAACACGTGCTAATGAAGGTGTTAGCCGCTTACACACTCATATGCAACAATGGATTGCAACCATGAAGGCTCACCTGCAATCACCCTATCGAACATCTGCAATTACTTCATCAATGTGTACATGATACGCTCTAGACCCCTAACGATTCGTAAGCCATAATAAAGCAGCACGCACCAAGACCACACGACCATGCGAGCAGCAAGCCTCTCTGTTGGCTTATCACCGTCAATCCAAGCACGTGCGCGATGTTTGTTCCGCCCACCACCACTCCACAGTTGCTCCCCAGCGTCCCGCCGCACTGCACACCTCACTCTTGCGCTCGCATCGCCTCGCACTGACCCCGCAGCTCTCACCCACAACGTCCTTCCGCCTGCCTCGCCTGTCGCCTTCCCGCCCCCCGTGGAGCCATGCGAGGCCAACTCGTCGCGATCCCGCGCTGTTCCTCGCTCTTCCCGCTCCGCGCGTCTCACGCGCTCGCCTCGTGCTCTCTCGCCCCTCCCGCGCCACCCCCGTGCCCCTCTCGCTCCTTGCGGTCTTTCCTGCGGCGGCTCGCCGCGTGAGTAGTGGACGGTCCTAGCGCAGGATAGACGCGCGAAGCTGCGGAGATCGACGCGTCAATTAGTGTGAAATAGACGTGCGAGGTGCTTCGACGCGCCGCCGACATGCGGTCGTGCGACGCACTGTGATTGTCCTTCCCAGTGTGCGACAGCCGCCAGTGAGCGACAACCGTCAGGGTGCGACAGTATCCTGTGTGCGACAACCGGCGCGGGGATGGTGGCGAAGCGAACTCGACAGCTGGTCATTGTGAGACGCGCGGCTGCTGCCGCCCCTGGTGCCCCCCTCCACCCGCCCCTGTTGCCCCCCTCCACCCGCCCCTGTTCCCCCCCTCCACCCGCCCCTGTTGCCCCCCTCCACCCGCTCCTGCTCGCACCGCTCTCGCCCGCCTTCATCTGCGCGCACTGCGTGCTGCTGCCGCCTCGCTCCATCCATCCCCCTCTCTCCTTCTCTCCGTGCCCTCACTCTCTCGTGCGGCGCGGTTGCTCGCGTTTTCCTGCCATGCAACCTCATCACATGGCGTGTTGACACGTGCCGTGTTGCCACATGGTGCCACGTGGCAGGGCGTATTGGCGGGCTGCATCATCACCGCTATCCTCTATCTCTTCGCCGTGCTCCAGGTGCGCGCAGGTGCGCGCAGGTGCGCCCAGGTGCGCCCAGGTGCGCCCAGGTGCGCGCAGGTGCGCCCAGGTGCGCCCAGGTGCGCCCAGGTGCGCCCAGGTGCGCCCAGGTGCGCCCAGGTGCGCCCAGGTGCGCCCAGGTGCGCCCAGGTGCGCCCAGGTGCGCGCAGGTGAGCGCAGGTGAGCCGAGGAGAGCCGAGGCGCTCCAATACGCTCTGCTGCCATGCTCTGCTGCCATGCTCTGCTGCCATGCTCTGCTGCCATGCTCTGCTGCCCAGCATCGAAGTCATCCCTCTCTTTCAACACCCACACCCTTGACTTGCATGTGCCATGCCATGGCGTGGCGTGGCGTGGCGTGGCGTGGCGTGGCATGGCATGGCATGGCATGGCATGCCATGGCATGGCATGGCATGGCATGGCATGGCATGGCATGGCATGGCATGGCATGGCATGGCATGGCAGCAACATGTGGGGCAGGAGCGCAGGAGGCCATCAGTGGATGTGGATGCGCGCCTCCGCGCCATTGAAGGTCGCCCACCCATCCCCTACCTCCCATGCCACTCACTCCCATGTCGCTCACTCCCATGCCACTCACTCCCATGTCGCTCACTCCCATGTCGCTCACTCCCATGTCGCTCACTCCCATGTCGCTCACTCCCATGCCACTCACTCCCATGTCGCTCACTCCCATGCCACTCACTCCCATGTCGCTCACTCCCATGCCACTCACTCCCATGTCGCTCACTCCCATGTCGCTCACTCCCATGTCGCTCACTCCCATGTCGCTCACTCACATGTCGCTCACTCCCATGTCGCTCACTCCCATGTCGCTCACTCCCATGTCGCTCACTCCCATGCCACTCACTCCCATGTCGCTCACTCCCATGTCGCTCACTCCCATGTCTCCATCCGCGTTGCTCCCACCTCGTGCATCCGTCATCTTCACCTTCCCTCCCCTCTCTCCCCTTTGCTCTCTCCATCATCTCGCCTGCCTTTCGACCGCTCTCCGTCCATCCCTTAACCCCTTGCCTGCGCCCCCCTGCCTGCCACCCTGACTGTGCCCGCCTGCCTGCGCCCCTGGGTGGGAGAGCAGAGCAAGTGGCGCGGATGGCAGCGGCGGACGTGGTGGGGGTGGTGAGGGAGGAGGTGGGGCGCGTGGGCGGGCAGGTGGAGGCGGTGCAGGCGCTGCAGCGAGCCAGTGCGCAGGCTGGGGGGGATAGAGGGGCGGCGCTGGAGGCGAGGGCGAGGGAGGCGGAGGAGAGGGCGGCGCAGCTGAACGACACGGTGGGGCGCCTGCAGGCCGCTCTCAGGCAGCACAGCGCCACCATCGCTGCCATGCAGGTGGGCAGCACGCTGGTTGCCCGCGGGCGGATTCTTTCAACGCATCCCTCCCTCCACTCCACCCTCACTACCATGCCATTCCATTTCATGCTGTATGTGCCATGACCAATACATGCCATGACATTACATGCCATGCCATGCCATGCCATGCCGGGGCACCATATCCTGCACCGCTATGCGTGCATGCGTGCAGGCAGTGGAGCAGGCAGCAGCAGGGGCGGCAGGTGCGGAAGGGGGGCGGGCGCTGGGCAGGACGGTGGTGGAGGAGGACCACCCGGGGCGATGGAGGCAGCACACCTTCCACCGCACCGGCGCCTATGGCTTCATCCAGTACAGGTGCGCCTATGGCTTCATCCAGTACAGGTGCGCCTATGGCTTCATCCAGTACAGGTGCTCCCTGCCCCACCGCGCACGTCGCTTTCACTGCCTGCCACTCCTGCCACCAACCATCTAAACATCCCTTGCATTCCCAACCTCCCATTACTGCACTCTTCTTCTCCCCCACTCCCCTCACCTTTTCTTCGCTCTCCGCCCTTCGCCCCTCTTCCCTCTCTCTCCTTGCCCCTCGCCCCTGCCGCTGGCCCCCGGCATGCAGTGCGTACCGGGTGTCAGCGGCGCGCATAGCGGTGGTGGGGATGGGCGCACTGGGGCTGCGCAGCAAGCGGCGAGTGGAGGGGTGCTGGTGGCACCGCCTGGACGGGCACACGGTGATCGCGGGCAAGCTCACGCAGATGGTCATGGAGGAGCACCACAACTACCTCGTGCGTTCAACGTGGGGGGGGGGGGGGGGGGTGGGGGGTGCACGGGTGCAGAGAGGGGAGAAATTGCTCTCGCATCGCGCTTTTTTGTGATTTTGTTCGCTCATCTGCCCCCGTGCTGCACCTTTGCTGCCCCGTGGTGTCCCCATGCGTGGAGGCAGTACGAGCTGGTGGTGCTGCAGTGCGCGCTGGAGGAGGAGGTGGCGGAGACGGGCGGGCATCTGCGCATCTTCCTCGACCGCCAAGTGCTCTTCCCCTTCCGCGAAGACACCAAGGAGGTGCGCCAGGGGGGGGGGGGAGACGAGGGAAGAGTGGGGGGCAAGCATGTGAGGGAGGTGGGAAGGGGGGGCATGCGACTGTGGAAAAGTGTGGCGGTAGGAGGATGACGTGGATGCAGGCACTCATGGATGCAGGCACTCATGGATGCAGGCACTCATGGATGCAGGCACTCATGGATGCAGGCACTCATGGATGCAGGCACTCATGGATGCAGGCACTCACGGTGCAGCCACACATGCTCATCACCATCTTCACCCCGTCCCTCCCCCCTCCCCCCTCCCCCCAAGGCAGAAGATAGACAACGGAACGGGACCCATGCCGTACCGCTTGGCGTACTGCGGCCCCCCCATGCACGCGGAGATGGAGCAGCGCAGCGTGCAGCAGTTCATCGCCTACCACCGCTACGCCGCCGGCTACGACCACTTGCAGCTGTACGACGCCACCGCCGTCACGCCCGCCCTCACAGCGGCGCTGCAGCCGCTCATGGACGACGGGCTGCTGACCATCGCTGACTTCCGCCAGGCCTACCAGTTTGACTCCTGGTACTTCTCCCAGGTGACCTCACTTGCACCCACTCGCTCCTGCTGCTCCCATCTCGCCTGCCTGCTTTCCTGCCGCTATGCTCCCGCTCCTACCTCGCACCTCTCCGTTGCCAGCACTCAGCCGCTGCCACGTGATCCCCTGCTCCCCTGCGCCAGGCGGTGGCGATGCACGACTGCATGTACGGCATGCGGCAGCGCGCGGACTGGATAGCCTTCCACGACCTGGACGAGTACCTCGCACTGCCCCCGCCCGCCTCCGTGCCCGCGCTGCTGCAGCGCTACGCCGCACTGCCCTACATCACACTCGGCATGTACGTGTTCAGCGCGCACCTGTGTGAGGAGGGGCCCGAGGACGTGTGGAGCGACGAGGAGAAACGCTTTGCGGTGGAGCGCATGGTGCAGCGGCGGGCGACGCCGTACTGCCTGCGTGCTGAGGACGACCCGAAGCTGTGCATCGACTACTACGGCCACCGCAAGATGTTCCTCAACCCCCGCAAGGTCAGCTGCTGCTGCTTGCTGCGCTCTTGATGCTTTGCTGTCGTATTGTTGCTTCTCAGGTGATTGAGCCAGCTGAGATCGTCACTGTTTCGTGCTGGTCGGTGGTGGCCATGGGGCGGTGGGGCATGCGTGGGCGGTGGTGGGCAGGTGGAGGCGGTGTACGTGCACCTGGTGGACAAGCCGGCCACGGGCGGGGTGGACCTGAGTGTGGACGAGATGTACTTCGCCCACCTGCGCTCGCTCACCGGCAAGGCCGTGGCGTGCCGCCCGCCCACGGACAAGGAGAACGACCTGCCGCCCGCGGAGCTGGAGAGGTGCACCACCGTGGCTGAGACCGCTGCGCGCGCCCGGGAGTGCGCCCAGGAGGGCTTCTCCAACCAGGTGGGCCGGTGGGCAGGGCCGAGGGGTCGTTGGGTGCGCTCTATGATGGGTCTCCGTGCCTCCCCCACCACTGCTGCTATTGCCTGCCCTGTGCGTGGCTGGTGTGTGTGCTGCACCACTCACGCCCCCCACTCCCCTATGTTTTCCTCTGCAGTTCCTGTGCAAGCCCAGAGCCACACGCTAGCTGCCTCTCCACACGCCTGCCATTTGCTCCGCCTGCCGCCGTGCAGCAGTAACCTGCCATGCCCACCTCGTTCCAAGGGGAAGGGGCATGCTTCGAGCAACGCACTTGCTGTGCCATGAAAAGGGAAACCTGATGCTGCTGCCATGCGTGTTGCATGTTGCGTGCTGTCATATGCTGAATGCGGTTGATGCGGGTGCTTCCATTCAACTAGGTTCCACCAACCGTTACCTAGCAGCAGGTCAGGTGCAGTGCAGAGGCCACAGCATGGCCACTTACACACGTGCCATGTGCCACCCGACCCGACTCGTAGCTGCTATTCGTCGCACCTTGCAATAGCGCACGTGTCAGTGTGCACGTGATACCATGATCTGCACTGTAAAACATTGATGCTTTTGCAAGGATCTAGAACTCGTAGCAGACAGCCAAGCACCTACCCGTATTTTAGCAGACAGTATATTGTCGCCTTGCCTTATTCGCGGCCTTCGTACCACAATCAATTCCTCCCTGCGACACTCCATTCCTCCCTACAACACTCCATTCCTCCCTACAACACTCCATTCCTCCCTACCACACTCCATTCCTCCCTACGACACTCCATTCCTCCCTACGACACTCCATTCCTCCCTACCACACTCCATTCCTCCCTACGACACTCCATTCCTCCCTACCACACTCCATTCCTCCCTACCACACTCAATGCCTCCCTGTCACTCCTCCACACTTCTAGCCTGAACACCTCAGGTGGTGGCGGTTTGCTAGAGCCATGGAGGGATAGAGTGGACAGCATCTTGCGTGCACAGCGTCTTGCTTCTTCTCTGGGTGAAGGCAGGGGCCACCATCCATTGCCTTTCCGCATGGCAAGAAACCTGCTTCCTCCACAGCAACCCCATCTCTCAACCTCTACAATCCCTGCGTGCATTGATTCTGCTGTCTCCTACGGTAGATGGAGCTAGGACTTAGTGTGCTCATTACCGTGTGTTCAGATTAGCTTATCTTGCACAATAGAGCATTTATTCATCACTTGCGACAGCGAACCACGATGGGCACCCAAGCACGCAAGCTGCTGTGAGAGCACCGATGATGGTGTTGTGAAAGCTCTGGTGCACAGGCAAGCTCTGCCGCTTCCCCAGCGGGCTGGCTCAGCATTCTTTCTGTGTACATGGCACGATGGAGAAAGAGGTACTCGTAACGAGGCACCAGCCTCATTCCCGCGTGTGGCGGATAGGATCTCAGTGCGTGTTGGTTCGTCGGGGATTCCTTTGCTCCAGGTGTGAAAGACAATACTCGACTGAATGTGGAAGTATAATTGCAGGAAACTAAATCAGAACACGCCAAAAAGGTAAAAACACGGCACTATCTATGGGGGTATGGCCCCGTTTACCTAGTACACGTAGCCCTTCACGTGCAGGCTCTCCGTGGCGGCAGCGGAGGCGGCGCCGCCGGCGTACTTGCCGAGAGTGGCTTCGGAGTTGCTGCGCGCGCGCGTGGTGAACACCTCTTGCGCCGCCTTGAGGTTCTCCTCCTTGCCCTGCCACGTGGCGAGCGTGCTCTTCTGCAGCGCGCGCCCGTACGAGAAGGACAGCGTCCACGGCTTCTTCGTGTCCAGCTGGTTCATCGCGTTCAGGTTCACAGTCGCCTGCTCCTCGCTCTGCCCGCCCGACAGGAACATGATGCCGGGCACGGCGGCGGGCACGGTGCGCTGCAGCGCGCGCACGGTGAGCGCGGCGATGGTCTTCTCGTCGACCTTGGGGCCGTCGGAGCCGGGCGAGACCATGTTGGGCTTCAGCAGCGACCCCTCCAGCAGCACCTTCTGCTCGCTCAGCGCCTTGTACGTCGCCGCCAGCACCAGCTCCGTCACCTCGGCGCACTTCTCGATGGTGTGCGAGCCGTCGGTGAGGATCTCGGGCTCAACGATGGGCACGAGCCCGTTCTCCTGGCAGATGATGGCGTACCGCGCCAGGCCCTGCGCGTTCAGCTGGATCGCCAGCTCCGACGGCTCATTCGCGCCGATCTTCAGCACCGCGCGCCACTTGGCGAACCGCGCGCCCGCCTTGTAGTACTCGGCGCAGCGCGCGCCGAGACCGTCGTGGCCCTGCGTGGTGGTCTCGCCGTTGGTGCCGGCGATGTCGACGGTGCCCTTGTCGACCTTGATGCCCGGTAGCACGTCGTTCTCGACCATCAGGTCAACAAACAGCTTGCCGTCCGACCCCTTCTGGTACAGCGTCTCCTCGAACAGGATCACGCCGCTCAGGTACTGCATCGCGCCGGGCGCAGTGAACAGCAGCTCACGCAGCGCGCGGCGGTTTGACTCAACATTCTCGACATTGATGGCGCTCAGGCGCTTGCCGATGGTTCCAGTGCTCTCATCAGCCGCCAAGATACCCTTTCCTGGGGTCGCGATCTTCTTGGCGTTGGCAATCAGCTCCTCTGCAGTACAGCAAGGTATAAGAAATGTAAGTCAACCGGGAACTCAAGTCATTCGTTTCCTATGTGAATTCAATCAAGCTGAATGTTTGTGCAAGATTCGGCTAGCACGCAAGAATCAACGGTATCAGAGAAGCACCATGTGCTTTAGCAGAACTGGCAAACACCTCAAGAGATCGCAATATCGTACCTGCGTACTTGCCGTTGTAGGCGGCCATGGCTCTACAAATCTGAGAGTGAAGACGAGATGAGAGCTGACGAGAAATTACAGATAGAAGGAGCTTGGTGATGAAATTTGGAATCAGCAAGCTGAATTGAGGAGAATGGGAGACGGACGGGGATTTGAAGCACAAGAATCGGCCTTCGCAGGCGGGAGTTTGGGGGAGCACGACAGCGCGGCATGCCACGTGCAGAAAGGCATGCGATGATGTGGACGAACCAAAAGGCTTTTTTCCCCTCGGCTTCCGCGCCAGCTCAGACAAACCCCAGATCCGAGCACTTCGGAATGGAATCCTGCCAAACGCCAATTGCGCAGGGTCGTGCTGGCACTAAAAATATCGCCGCGCGGCGCCCAACCATTCGGCCTCCCCTGTCTCTGGATGACCCACGGTGTACTTGGAGGAATGCGGCCCGCTGCTGGCATCCACCTTTGCACAGTGACTCCCAATTGTCCCTAACGTGCCTCTTCCCTAACGTCCCAATTGTTCGATACCCCGTTGTTTTGTGTTTACGTAGCAGCGAGGCCACCATTGACGCGTACTGAACCCCCACCCCTCTTGACGCAAGTATACAACTCCAAGGGCGGGTCAGGATTGATGTGTTTATGGTTCGTATATCACTGTGGTTGGGAGCGTTTCAAAGCGGTGAATTTTCAATAACCGAGGTAGAGAGCACAACATCGTACTCAACCGCCTTCAATGAACTGTAAACACATTGTGCGTGACCCGCCCAAACCCTAATTTCCGTTCCCTCGCACGTTCCGTGCCGTGCGTGTCAGGCATTTGTTCACTGTGAGGCGCCTCGTAGCTCATTCGAAGAGACCGGTTCAGCAAGACTACGATACCCAGGATACCATCCCGTACCGTTCGCTGGAGAGTACTAAGAGCAGTTTATCTGCTTCTCCGTTCTCGTCGTTATACTTTGCGTGTCGTTCTCAGTCCCAGCAACCGTTATTTATCCATCCAACCACCGTCCATCACTCTAGTTCCGACCGCGCGGCAATGAGGGGGAGCTCGGGGGTGAAGCGGGTGGGCAAGTACGAGCTGGGGCGGACGCTGGGCGAGGGCAACTTCGCCAAGGTGAAGTTGGGGCAGGACGTGGAGAGCGGGCGGCGCGTGGCGATCAAGGTCATGGACAAGGACAGGATTCTGCAGCACAGGATGGCGGACCAGGTGACGCCGCCACTCCCGCTCCGCTCTCCTCGTCGCGCCGTTTGATGCGTTCCTGACTGCGCTCCGCGTCGCCGGCATTTGAACGCGACGCCGCGTTCATGACGGCGTTCGCGCAAAGCCGTTGTCGCGCCTCGCCACGCGTCACTCACAACCGGCTCTCCTCCGTTTCCGTGTGTTGCTCAGATAAAGCGCGAGGTCTCGATAATGAAGATGGTTCGCCATCCCAACATCGTCCAGCTTATCGAGGTACACTCAAACGCGTATATGGATGGAGGTACCGTCGAGCTCGAGCCCTATCATTCTTGAGTTAATGAGCTAACGCGATTCCTAGGGTCGGAACTTGAGAAGCGCCACGTCACCCAGCCGTTGCCCCCTGTCTCTCCGTGCCGTCCCGTGCATGCCGGCCGGCAGGTGCTGGCGTCGCGCAACAAGATCTTCATGGTGCTCGAGTTCGCGGCGGGCGGCGAGCTCTTCGACCGCATCGTCAGTGCGCGCGCCCTCCCCCTCTCGCTGCCGCCACTCTCGCCCGCACCCCCTCACCCCTCGCCTTCACCCCCACACCATTGGCCGTCGCACAGTTTGTCAGTCTTTGCCATCCACTGTGTCGCTCAGTCGCCCTCCTCGTTGCTCGCAGCTCACCCGCACTCTCCTTTCCCCCACCTGCGATCTCCGCCCCATGCGCGCCTTCCGGCGCGGTTTCCCTGGTGTGTGCGCGCGCGCAGGTGTACCGCGGGCGGCTGTCGGAAAGCGAGGCGAGGCGGTACTTCCAACAACTCGTGGACGCGGTCGACTGCTGCCACGCCAAGGGCGTCTGCCACCGCGACCTTAAAGTGTGTCATTTATTTGATTACTTCCTTTTTCCTTATGCGGTTTCTGCTTTCCCAGTTCCGCCATTCTCTGCACCAATTTCACCACTTGCGCTGCACTTTCTTGCCTCTCATTCTCCTGCTCCTTCTCATCCCATCCCACTCTGTGCGTGGCGTCAGCCGGAGAACCTGCTGATGGACGAGTCTCTCATCCGCCTTTCCCCTCCCCCCTTCCCCCTTCCCCCTCCCGCTCCCCCTTCCCCCTCCCCCTGCCCCAGCCGGAGAACCTGCTGGTGGACGAGCGCGGCAATCTCAAGGTGTCGGACTTTGGGCTGAGCGCCCTGCCGCAGCAGCAACACCGCGACGGGCTGCTGCACACCACCTGCGGCACGCCCAACTACGTCGCCCCCGAGGTGCGCCCCCCCCATTCCCCCACCCTTCCCCGAGGTGCGCCCCTCCCGTCCTCATGTCATGCCCCCCGCCCGCTCCCCCTGCGCTGCTGCTCTTTCCTGCTCCCCCTGCACTGCACCCGCCACCCATCCCACTTCACTCATCCGCCGCCTTCTTGCGTGCCCTACTTGCCCCCGCGTGCCCCTCTGCTCCGCTTCCCCTCCTCCCAGGTGCTGCACAACAAGGGGTACGACGGGCGCAAGGCGGACGTGTGGTCGTGTGGTGTCATCCTCTTTGTGCTGCTGGCGGGCTACGTGCCTTTCGATGAGCCCGACCTCGTGCTGCTCTATGACAAGGTGTGCTGCTCTATGACAAGGTGTGCTGCTCTATGACAAGGTGTGCTGCTCTATGACAAGGTGTGCTGCTCTATGACAAGGTGTGCTGCTCTATGACAAGGTGTGCTGCTCTATGACAAGGTGTGCTGCTCTATGACAAGGTGTGCTGCTCTATGACAAGGTGTGCTGCTCTATGACAAGGTGTGCTGCTCTATGACAAGGTAAGGCATGCCATTGACAAGGTGTGGTGCTGCCATGAACTCAGCCTCTGCACTCATGCCTGCTGCACGCCTCCTGCTCATGCATGCTCCCACACGTGCTGCATGCTCCCACACGTGCTGCATGCTCCCACACGTGCTGCATGCTCTCACACGTGCTGCATGCTCTCACACGTGCTGCATGCTCTCACACGTGCTGCATGCTCTCACACGTGCTGCATGCTCTCACACGTGCTGCATGCTCTCACACGTGCTGCATGCTCTCACACGTGCTGCATGCTGCCAGCCCTTTCCTGCAACTGCCTTGCCTCTCTACCCAACAATCCTCTCCCCTCTCCCTTTGCCCCCATCCACTCCCCCTCTCCTGCTCTCCTCCACCGGACACTCTCCCCCCCCTACCAGATATCCCGCGCGCATTTCAAGTTCCCCGAGTGGTTCTCCCCCGGGGTGAAGCGCCTCATCACGCGCATCCTCAACCCCGACCCCGCCACTGTATGTATGCCGCCCGCCCACCTTCACCCCGCCACCGTATGCCGCCCACCTTGACCCCGCCACCGTATGCCGCCCACCTTGACCCCGCCACCGTATGCCGCCCTCCTTCACCCCGCCACCGTATGCCGCCCTCCTTCACCCCGCCACCGTATGTATGCCGCCCCCCTTCCTTCACCCCCCGCTCCTGCGCTTCCTGCATGTCCCCCTGTGCCCTCTCCCCGGACCCCATCCGTGCTTGCTAACTGCCATGTGCCATCTCTCACCGCCTCTCCTTCCTCCGCACGCCTTCATGCTCCCACCAACCCTTCTTCCGCTCATTCTCCTCTCTCTTCCCCCCTCTTCTCCCCCCTGTGCTGTGTCTCCCCTCTCTTCGCCGTGCCGCGGTGATGTGGCAGCGGCCAGGGCTGGAGGCGATACGGAGGGACGAGTGGTTTCAGCGCGACTACCAGCGCGCGTACCCGCTGCCCGATGACATGGAGGGGGCGGGGGGCACTGAGGACGTGCTGCTGCATGCACGGGTGAGGGGGGAGGGGGGGAAAGGGGGGGTGGAGGGGTAGGGAGTGGCAGGGTGAGAGGGGGGCGAGGGAAGGGACGGGATGGAGAGGGGCAGAGGGAGGGTGGCATGGTGGTGGTAGATGCGCGGATAGGATGCTGCACTGTGTGCTGCGCCATGCCGCCCCCCTGCTCCCATTCCTCTTGCTTACTCCTCAAACCTCCGTCCATCCCCATTCCTGCCTATGTCCCGCTGCCCTCTCGTGTGCTTGTGTGCTCCCCATCCCCCCCACCAGCTGCACCCGGTGGCAGAGCTGTCTGTGCGAGTGGCACACTCGCCCTCCCTGCAGGCCTCGCTGCCCGTCTCCCTCAGCCCGCGCACCACTGCAGCAGCGGCACCACCAGCAGCACTGGGTGGTCGTGAGGCACAGGCAGGGGTGGCGGAGGAGGGGCGGACAGGGGGTGCAGGAGACGGGGGGGCGGGAGCGGGGGCAGGGGAGGAGGGACCGGAGTGGGTGAACGCGTTTGACCTGATAGCGCGCGCGCATGCTCTGGACTTGGGGGCGCTCTTCCACCGCCGCGCCCACCCCGTGCTGCGCCACACACGCTTCGCCTCGCGCCTGCCGCCCGCCCTCATCCGCTCTCGCCTCCTCGCCCTCGCGCCCGCTCTGCACACCCACGCGCACGCCAACCTCTTCAAGGTGCCGCGCAGGGGAGGGGGGGTGTAAGGAAGGGGAAGGGGGGGGGATAGAGAACCTGGTGGGAGTGAGGCTGTGTGGCGAGAGGTGGACTACGCGAGAGATGAATGCTGTGCCCTGCCTTGCCATGTGCCCCGCATCTCCTGCACTCACCCCTTGTGCCCGCCCTCTTATGTGTGACCCCAACCGCCATGTTGTGATGCTGCTGTGGGCGGCACATGGCAGATTCGGTTGGAGCGACCAGCAACAGCACAAGGGGGGCACCTCACCGTGGTCATTCAGGTATCTGCTCATGCTCATGCTCATGCTCATGCATGCCCACGCACTCCCATGCACTCCCATGCACTCCCATGCACTCCCATGCACTCCCATGCACTCCCATGCACTCCCATGCACTCCCATGCACTCCCATGCACTCCCATGCACTCCCATGCACTCCCATGCACTCCCATGCACTCCCATGCACTCCCATGCACTCCCATGCACTCCCATGCACTCCCATGCACTCCCATGCACTCCCATGCACTCCCATGCACTCCCATGCACTCCCACGCACTCCCATGCACTCTCACGCACTCCCATGCACTCCCACGCACTCCCATGCACTCCCATGCACTCCCATGCACTCCCATGCACTCCCATGCACTCCCATGCACTGCCATGCATGCCCACGCACTCCCATGCACTCCCATGCACTCCTATGCACTCCCATGCACTCCCATGCACTCCCATGCACTCCCATGCATGCCCACGCACTCCCATGCACTCCCATGCACTCCCATGCACTCCCATGCACTCCCATGCACTCCCATGCACTCCCATGCACTCCCATGCACTCCCATGCACTCCCATGCACTCCCATGCACTCCCATGCACTCCCATGCACTCCCATGCACTCCCATGCACTCCCATGCACTCCCATGCACTCCCATGCACTCCCATGCCCTCCCATGCACTCCCATGCACTCCCATGCACTCCCATGCACTCCCATGCACTCCCATGCACTCCCACGCACTCCCATGCACTCTCACGCACTCCCATGCACTCCCACGCACTCCCATGCACTCCCATGCACTCCCATGCACTCCCATGCACTCCCATGCACTCCCATGCACTGCCATGCATGCCCACGCACTCCCATGCACTCCCATGCACTCCTATGCACTCCCATGCACTCCCATGCACTCCCATGCACTCCCATGCACTCCCATGCACTCCCATGCACTCCCATGCACTCCCATGCACTCCCATGCATGCCCATGCACTCCCACGCATGCCCATGCACTCCCATGCATGCCCATGCACTCCCATGCCCGCATCTGTGCCGCGCATGTGTGTACCGTGCTTGAGAGCATGAGGCTGCAGCACAGAGAAACTGTTCCTCTGCCCCCCATGTGTTGCTGTCCCATCTCCATCACACGCATCACTCGCACCACTGGCACCACTAGCAAAATCACTTCATGTCTTGTCTGTCGTTGCTGTGGGGTGGGATGCGGTGCAGATATTTGAGATGACAGCGGGGGTGTTCATGGTGGAAGAACGCAAGACTGCTGGCGACACCCTCGAATACCACAAGGTCAGCAATGCCTCCTAACCCCTCCTCGCCCCTCCTCGCCACTCTTCTTCCCTCCTCAACGCCCCTTCTCGCCCCTCCTCGCCCCTCCTCGCCCCACCTCGCCCTCCACTGCCACAAGTTTGTCAGTAGGCTACTGCGGTCGCCCTCACCCCTCTCCTCTCTATGAAGCTGACTTGGTAGCTTGAGCATGCACGCCACTCGCCGCACCTTCTGCCTCTCCACCAGCTGGCCCCTCCGCAGCATGAGAGCATGAGCGGGCAGCCAATGAGTATACTGAAAGCGTGCTTCTGTGTTCTGCGTGTGGGTGGGTGGGTGGGTGGGTGTGTGTGAATGCCATGTGTGCTGCCTGTGCCTCACACACCACTGTGCAGTTCTATCGCAGTCTAGTTGCACGGGCAAAGGACCTTGTGTGGCACCCAGACGCCGCTGCCGCCCTGCCAGCATCACCACATGCGCCACTCGCAGTGCCGCCACCACTGGCATCCGACACTCCTGCAGCAACCACGGTAGCAGCAACAACAGCAGAAACAGCAGCAGGGGGGGCAGCAACAGCGCCAACAGCAACAGCAACAGCACCAACAGCAACAGCAGCAACAGCAGCAGGTGGTAGTGACGTGAATGAAGGGACAGTAATGAGCAGTGGGAAGGTAGAGGAGCCACAAGGGCGCATGGAGGAGAAGCACAGAGGCTCACCCACCACCATGCATTTCTTAAAACCGAAATGCAAAATAGTGAACCCCAAACCCAACTTGAAAGAGCGCAGGGACGAGTTTGCCGGGCGAAACAAATTTTGGACCGGACTGACAAGTTTGTACCGTTTCAAACGCTGCGGACGTGCAAATCCAACACCTTTGATTGGTTCCCGCCAAAAGAAAAACATTCTGGGGATGTGTGGCGTCGCATTTCTCATTTCTCGTTTCGCGCGACAATTGCGTGGGCGATCGTTTCGGTCTATCCAAGCGATTTGGGCCCAGCTCATGTTTCAAGTTGGGATGGGGTGAACTGCTACCATTTTTGCGTCGCTAGTTATACGGTAAGTAGCTAGGTTGGGCATAGGCTATGTCTGGACTGTTGCCCTCGTTATCTCAACATGTATTAATCAGAATGTCCGTCCCGTCGCTCACGCGATCTCCTCTTGCCTCCCTTACCCACGCGATCACTTCTCCTTCCCCATAGCCCTCCTGTTCGGCCGTCCAGTCACCCGCCCATTCTGCCGTCCCGTCGTCCTCCCGTTCCGTTCCGTCGTCGTCGCCCTTCCGTGGCCCATACCGTCGCCCCTCCCGTAGCGCATCCTCTCTCCCATCCCGTCGTTCCCCTCGTCGCCCTCGCCAACGCCCCGAAACTCCCTCCCGTCGCCCTTCCTCTCTCCCATCCCGTCGCTCCCCTCGTCGCCCTCGCCAATGCCCCGAAACTCCCTCCCGTAGCGCATCCTCTCTCCCATCCCATCGCTCCCCTCGTCGCCCTCGCCAACGCCCCGAAACTCCCTCCCGTCGCGCATCCTCTCTCCCATCCCGTCGCTCCCCTCGTCGCCCTCGCCAACGCCCCGAAATTCCCTCCCGTCGCCCTTCCTCTCTCTCATCCCGTCGCTCCCCACGTCGCCCTCGCCAACGCCCCGAAACTCCCTCCCGTCGCGCATCCTCTCTCCCATCCCGTCGCTCCCCTCGTCGCCCTCGCCAACGCCCCGAAACTCCCTCCCGTCGCCCTTCCTCTCTCTCATACCGTCGCTCCCCTCGTCGCCCTCGCCAACGCCCCGAAACTCCCTCCCGTCGCCCTTCCTCTCTCCCATCCCGTCGCTCCCCTCGTCGCCCTCGCCAACGCCCCGAAACTCCCTCCCGTCGCTCCCCTCGTCGCCCTCGCCAACGCCCCGAAACTCCCTCCCCTCGCCCTTCCTCTCTCTCCGTCACCCTTGCTCTCTCTCCGTCGCCCTTGCTCTCTCTCCGTCGCCCTTGCTCTCTCTCCGTCGCCCTTGCTCTCTCTCCGTCGCCCTTGCTCTCTCTCCGTCGCCCTTTCTCTCTCCCGTCGCCCGTTCTCTCTCCCGTTGCCCTTTCTCTCTCCCGTTGCCCGTTCTCTCTCCCGTTGCCCTTTCTCTCTCCCGTTGCCCGTTCTCTCTCCCGTTGCCCTTGCTCTCTCCCGTTTCCTATCCTCTCTCCCCTCCTCTCACGTTGCCCTCGATGCAGTCGTCACCTTTCCTCTCTCCCCTCCCATCACCCACCTCGGCGCCTTCGCGTTCGCCCCGAAATGCCTGCAAGTCGCCCTTCGTTTCTCCCCTCCCATCTCCCAACACCCTACCATTCCGCAATTTTCGCTCAATCAGCGCTCTCCGTGCGCTCTCGTTTCCTTCTACCTATTCCTTTTTATCTCTAACCCGAAACTCTCTGTTTTTTCCCGCAGTTCTGCTTTTCCTATGCTGTTTTTGCCGCCCCAGCAGGCACATGTCTAAGGCGTTTGTTGTGTGTGAATTGAACATGCAACACTTGTTGAAATTGGCCCCCTCGTGTGATTGGGATTTGCACGTCGCCAACTTGCGACACATGCTTGCGACGTTTTTTGTAAAAAATTGTGAGAAGACTTGAACGCGTCTGAAAAACAAAACAGAACAACACTTCGACCGTCAGAACCTTTACAAAGTTAGTTTGAGTTTTCAAGTGGACCCACTAGAAGGGGGGGGGGTCACTATTTTAGCTGCTGGCTTTAAAATAGGCTAGGAGACAAGTGTCGAGAGTGAAGATTGAGTAAGGAGAGACAAGGAGATACAAATGTCGACCTAAAGTGTTGTACCCTTTAGAGGGCAACTCACTGTAGCCTATCTAACAATATATAAAATATATAAACATTTGACACACCCCCATAGGCTAAGTGAGGGGCATCAAAACAACCAACGGAAACAAAGGGTCACAAGACCAGTCAAGAACAAGCATAAAAAACAAAGCTCAGGGTGGCGCTCAGAGTCACCACACACTCCGAGCACAAGCAAGTGGCCACAAGGCCAGTTCAAGAGTTTACTAGTATATATATAGAAGCACAACAAGTAGAGCAAACAGCAAGTCTACAGCAACCGAGGGCCTACCTCAACAAGCCCCAACTGCACACAGAACCTGTGGTGGTCACCAGGCGCCAAGGCCTTGGTGAAGACGTCGGCAGTGTTGGCCTGTGAGGCCACAAAGTCCAAGCGTGCCTGGCCGCGTCGCTGCAACTCTCGCAGGAGGAAGTACCTCACGTCAATATGCTTCACTCTGCTCTCCAGTCGAGGCTCTCGACACAGGAGGATCATGGCCTTGTTGTCAGCGTACAAGGTCGGTGCAGAGCGAGGCCGCTCACCAAGGTCGGCGAGCAAGAAGGTCAACCAGCGAAGCTCCTGTGCCGCCATGGCACCAGCGTAGATCTCTGCCTCTGCACTGGAAGTAGCCACAGACGACGACCGTGTAGACCTCCACGACACAGCACCAGCTCCCAGACTGAAGCAGTAACCCTGAGTCGAACGCTGAGTCTCCACGTCGTCAGCGTAGGAAGAGTCGCAGTGACCAGTCAACGCCACTGGCTGAGTCCCTCCAAGCACAAGCCCCATGCCTGATGTAGTCGCCAGGTACTTCGCCACCCTCACAGCAGCTGTCCAGTGGACAGGGCGGTGTCTCCCAGTCGCAACAAAGCGAGAAAGGATGCTGAGTGGAAAGGCGAGGTCCAGTCGAGTACAAGTCATCAGGTACATGAGGCAGCCCACCAGCTCTGCGTAGGGTCCACTGGACTCAAAGGGCTCGTCAGGAAAGGGGCCCGTAAGTCTGTGGTCAACAGCAAGAGGAGTGGGCTGTGTGGTGGAGAACTGGAAGTCGAACCGCCGAAGGACCTGCTGCACCATGTGTGACTGCGTCAGTGTGATGGTGCGAGCGGCTCTGTCCCGGGTGATCTGCAGGCCAAGGTAGCGCTGCAGCTCACCCAGGTCAGTGCACTTGTGTCTCTTCTGCAGTTCGGACTTCACCTGAGCCAAGGCTGCCCTGTCTGCTGTAGCAAACACCAAGTCGTCGACGTAGACAAGGATAAAGAAAGGAGTAGAACCCGCTCGAACAAACAGCGACGGGTCGGCGGAGGACGGGCTGAACCCAAGGTCACGAAGCGTGGAGCGAAGCGTGTCGTGCCACTCACGGGGCGACTGGCGGAGACCGTAGACTGGTCGCCTCAGGCTCCACTGGGTCCCAGGTGGGAAGGTGTCAGTGAAGCCAGGAGGATGGCGCAGCCAGATCTCCTCGTGCGGTCGGCCCTGGAGGAACGCAGTGGAGAAGTCGAGGGAGTGCAGCTCGTAGTCTCGCTGCGCTGCTATGTGGAGTAACACCCGAAGAGTAGTCATCTTCGGGGTCGGGGCGAAGGTCTGGAAGAAGTCAACTCCCTCACGCTGACTGAAGCCCCTAGCCACGTAGCGCGCCTTGAACACCGGCGGTGCTCCAGGCGGCCGCTTCACCTTGAAGAGCCACATGCCATCGACTACGTTCGCCCTGGGAGGGGGAACTGCGTCGACGTAGGTGCCTGTGGATCTCCAAGACGCCAACTCTGAGTCCATAGCCGCTTTCCACTGAGAGGCCCACGCCCCTGACACTGCCTCGCGGTAAGTGCGAGGAGTCGGTATGTCAAGGGCGTCGGGGTCTCCCTCAGGGGAGAGCAGCATGGCACACACAGAGGGAGAAGCGGCTGCCCAGTACTCCAGCTCAGACTCTCTGTCCTCTAGGACGTCACAGCCAAGGGCAAACCCACCCCCGACGGACAGAGGACGGTAGGGAGGAGCTGGCACCACACGGGTGGCGTAATCAAGGCGGCTGGCGGCAGCAAACTCAGCGACAGAGGCAGTAAGAGCCGAGGCAGACGACGGAGGGAAACGAGAGTCGGTGACAAGAGTGGCGAGGACACGTGCGGCAACAGGACGAACAACGCGGTAGTAGTCAGAGATAGGAGTGGGGAGGGCTGGTAGGGAGGACGGAGGAGGAGACGGGAGAACGGACACAGGAGAAGGAGAACGACGACGAGACGAACAAAGGAGGGCAGTGTGGAGGTCAGTAACAGGGGACGAGTGACGAGCACGCGGAGGACAACGAGTGATCAGGTCGCGACGGACAGAGGGAGGAGGAGAAGACCAGACCGCCGGACGGTCGTCAGGAGGAGGCAACGGAGGAACAAACACAGGAGGAGACTGGGAGCGGACAGGAGGAGAGGAGGAAAGGCCAAGGGCCCGCAGGCCACTCACAGGTGGGAACAACCGCCGCTCCAGGGGAAGCTGCGGTGGCGGCTGCGGCCGCTGCTGCTGCGGCTGCGGCTGCTGCTGCTGCGGCTGCGGCGGCGGCTGCGGCTGCTGCTGCTGCTCCTGCTGCTGCTGCTGCCGCTGCTGCTCCAGAAGGTCCAGCACCCGCAGCTCCTGCCGCTCCCTCTCCAACCGCTCTTGCTCCTCACGCTCACGCCGACGGGCAGCCTGGAGACGCGTGTCGTGGCGGTGGGGAGGCGGAGTGGACTCCGCAGAACCAGGGTCTCCAGCGTCAGTCCCCTCAGACTCAGCACCCCCAGAACCAGCACCGCCAGTGCCAGGACCTCCAACTCCAGCACCCCCAGAACTAGCACCGCCAGTGCCAGCACCCCCAACTCCAGCACCCCCAGAACCAGCACCTCCAGTGCCGGCACCTCCTGCTCCAGCACCCCCAGAGCTAGCGCCACCTGCGCCAGCACCTCCAGCTCCAGCACCCCCAGAGCTAGCGTCACCTGCGCCAGCACCTCCAGCTCCAGTACCCCGCGACCGAGCACCCCCAGACCGAGCACCGCCAGCGGCTGCACCTCCAGCTCCAACACCAACCGAGTCCACAGTAACCTGTCGCGGAAGTGCCGAAGGCTGCTGAGGGGACTGTGAGGAGGACTGCGAGGAGGGAGACGCTACCTGACGCGCGACCGAGGGTAGAGGGGTAGCGTGGGACACATCAGACGGGGCAGGACCAGGGGGGGGCGGGGGTACCGGAGGAGCGGGAGCAGGAGGAGGAGAGGGTGCGAGGAAGAGAGGGGGAGGGGGTACCGGGAGACCTCGACAGGGGTACCGGGTGTAGTAGGACACGGACTCGTCAAACCGGACGTCACGGGAGTCTAGGAACTGGTGGAGGGGAGGGTGGTAAAAGGACCAGTCAGCAGAGTCCACTGGGAAACCAAGGAAGACACAGGGGACGGCGCGTGCAGAGAGCTTGTCTGCGGAGGTGTCGCGAACAAGTGCAAGGCAGCCCCAGACTCGAAAGGCCGACCCAACACCAGGGGATCCAGTCCAAAGACTGGTCGGTGAAGCCTCGGGCCGCGAGACACGCGGCTGGAGGTTCAGCTGGTGTGCGGCGTAGCGAACCTGGTGGGGCCACAGAAAATGGGGCGCACGGGCATGAATCATGGACGTGCGGGCGATGTCCATGACCAAGCCTATGCGGCGCTCAGCAACCCCATTCTGCTGTGGGGACTCTGGCAGCGTCCAGGACTGGGTGATGCCCTGTTCGCCGCAGAATCCGCCGAGAATGCCGGAGCGAAACTCGCCCCCACGGTCGGAGTGAAGACAACTGACTCAACGACCACGAGTGCCCTCAGTGGCTAAGAACGACTACGCAGGCCCGCGGGGGGGGGGGGGGGGAGAGTCCCTTCTGGAGCGCGACGAAACGAGGGGCCAGCGGGGCCCTTTAAACGCGACGAATAACGAGGCCCGCGGGGGCCCTTAAACGCGACGAAAACGAGGCCCGCGGGGGCCCTTAAACGCGACGAAAATGAGGCCCGCGGGGGCCGTCCTACCCGCGACGAAACGGGGCCTAAGGGACGGGCGCCTCGGGACCGGCTAAGGGAGGGAGCGGAAGCGTGGGAGGGAGTAAAAACTTGCTCTGATACCATCTTAAAATAGGCTAGGAGACAAGTGTCGAGAGTGAAGATTGAGTAAGGAGAGACAAGGAGATACAAATGTCGACCTAAAGTGTTGTACCCTTTAGAGGGCAACTCACTGTAGCCTATCTAACAATATATATAATATATAAACATTTGACAGCATTCTACAGGATGTGTGGTTCCAACAACAAACAGCAGGCGTGGGTTCTCAGGCTGACAAACATATTACCGTATGTGATGTATGTTGTTGCAGTTTGTGTGTATTATAGCGTTACTCTGTGTGCATATCATTTTGTAATGGTTGTCAGATCCCATTCCACATTCCTAAATCACTTCAGTTCAGATGTTTGCATAGGTGAGATATGTTGAGATGTAAATGATTTTTTTTTTTTTTTTTTTTTTTTTTTTTTTTGAAAAACGCCATGCTGGTTGTACCCAGTTTCATCCGCCTCTACAGGTTTGCATTTCTGGTCCCTCAATGCATGCATCCGTCTACGTGATTATATTGAAAGAGGTTGACTTTCTTTATGTACAGTACGTCCTACCGTCTGCGCAAGTGTAGTGTAGCTCAGCTCTACTCACTTTTGTGGCTCACGACAGGGTGTGACCCACGTGAAGCCGTTGGTGATTGTTTCCAGAAGCGACCTTTAGCGGTTGCCATGCAGGCACCTCACACCAGACTCGGTCATCCTGGCTTCCCCAATTTATCTGAAATTTACAGAGTGTAGTGAACGAGTCCTGTATATCCGAAATCCCGGGAAATCTCTTGGTTCTCATTTAATGCCCATTCCCCTGCTAACAGCTGTGAGTACTGGTATAAGCGACATATGCCAGTCTGTCTGGTCGACCAGCTCCATTATGAGAGTTCACTTGGCGTTTTTCGCTCAGTCTTGGAAATTGCGGTACGTCCAAATCCCAAACGACCGAAACCTGGGAGCCCAGCGTGGCAAAGGTGACTCGGGTCTTGCCCAGGGCTGGCTAGGCTTTGACCAAACCTGATCTGAGATGTTTGGCCAATAGGATCTGCTAGGGTGACCAGCCCTAACCTCCTCTGGCGGTACCCGTCACCGACCCATCCCAGCAAGCACGTGACACGCTCAGACCCGAATCGCATGCCGCATGATGTGGATCATAATGTGCAACTGATCCCTCTGGCCCTCGCATGCTTCCGTGCGCCTTGTCCTCTCGACACCAGAAGACCAGACATTTTTAGGAACCACCAGCTTTTTGGATCAATCGTCGCTAGCTCCGTCGTATGTCTAGATTCTAGAGAGCGATTATGCCTGCTGCTACTTCAAGTGCATTTTTCCTGCATCCCAACGTTACACACTGGCTTTTCAACTTCCAGGCTCCTAACTACCAGAGCCGAACTTGCCAAGTACTTTTTCGACTCAGATACGCAGCTAACGCATTGCTTTTCCGGTTTGAGCTAGCAATCTAGCACTTCGACGAATAGAAAGAGCGGCCAGCCATGATCATGTGCCCTCGGAGCTCGTCCTTCGACGGGGCCGTCTCAGTCTCTTACCACCCATCCGTCCCGCACCCACCTATTTCGCCGTCCGGAGTCGAGTCGCCGTCGCGGCTAGGCCAGAGCCGTTTGGACGACGTGGGGATGCGCTCGCTGGAGAGCAAGCTTGAGCTGCTCCACGCGCAGCGAGAGCTGAGCGCCCTTCGCTGCCAGACGTTCATCGACCAGCTCGAATCCGCCTTCCAATCGCAACCCCCCACCCAAGCCGACCGACTAGCACGCCGCCCTCCTTCCGTGCGGGCGCGTCGCGCGTCGCTCGATCTGTCGAGGGCGGAGGGCGCGCAGTTGGCGCAGGAGCTGCGGTTCTACGATGAGCCGGCGAGGTTCGCACGCTCGCACTCCCACAGCGCCAGTGCCAGTCCAGCCGCCGCAGTGCCGCGTCCGCGATTCCCGCGCTCCAAGTCGCATCGCGGGCCCAGCCGAGGCTCCTCCCCCAGCCCGGCCGCTTTCGTCCGCCGCCACTCGAGCCCTGTTGTCGCCCGCCACTCCCCCAGTTTGTCGTTCTCATCAGCTGGGACGAACGGGCCGGAAGGTCTGAGCTGTAGTTTGGGGGTCCGCGCGAGCAACGTAGGCGCGCGCGAGACTTTCATGGTGTCGCGACCAAGTCTCAAGGACCGCCCGCCGTATTCCAGACACGGCGACGACGTGCGGGAGGCGGAGATGATGGCGCAAGAGGCGACTCGATGAGAGTCGCGACTGCGACTGCCGCGTGACAGCATCCGCGGGCAGGCCCGCGGACAGTGCGTGACGGCCGTGGAGTGAGCGAGATCCAGCTGCACTCAAGACGAGTTCACCTGGAGCTGCGCGCAGGGTTGGGGCGTCGTGTACCTGCGTGTTGGAGTTGGATTTGAAGCTACGGAAGCCGCGGTGCAGCACCTCGCTGGCGCCACCGTGCTGGTGGCGGGACGGAAAGAGAGCATCCGCGCCCACAACCTGGGCCAAACCGCGCAGCATATCGCTCATCCCAGAAATAAGTCTGGCAAGGGCTTTGGGGAGGAATGCGGGGGCTTTTGAACCGTCAACTGCTCCGCTTCCAGAGGCTTTGCCCATTCCATGGCCGGAGGAGTGGTCGCCTCCAACATTCTCCTACCCACTGGAGTCGCAGCCTCAGACTCGCACTACAGATGAGACGGCGCGTCTGTGTGAAGGACGAGAAAGGCAATGCATACTCAGCAGCTCGTGTGAGGCGATGGAAGCCATCAGAGAATGGCATTAGCATTTTGACTGTCACGATCGTGAAGCACCATAGCCGGATCAGCACGCTCACTGCTCTGCTTGTCATACGGAATTTCTCCTTTGTAGCATCAATTCTTGTAACATATTTGCAGCAATACAAGTGATTATAGCGTGGTTGACATAATTAATTGGGACAGCTGCTTAGTAGGTATACTTAGTAATACATTTTCAGCATCAACGGCACTCTCGGAGGGAAGTAGTGCCGCAACAAAATCCTGAGCCGGAGCTTGGCCCAGAATATTCAATCCAAAATGAGGCGAGAAGAGATGGCCAGGCGGCATGGCATGGCAAAATGACGACGCTGACTTGGCATGCTTGCTGTCTTCCTTGTTCCTTCACAACCGCATTAGGCGCACAAGAGCGCGCAAGCGGATAAAACCAATCCCTCAAAAGGGCAAAACCGAGGCCAAGGCTGGTCCGATGCACGACGGTGCAGCGGAGAGCTGGGTTGTGTAAAAAGTCCGCACGAATCGCGGTAAGGGTCTACGTTGGCGTGGCGGAAAAGGTGGTCGTTGGGGAGGCAAGGCGAAGCGCCACGGTAATGCGGCTGAAAACTGACAGTTCAATCGGCGAGTGCGGCTTGCGCCCGCTGAATCCGCGTGCGCGCGGCCCAGTGAAACACGGACTCATCGGCGCGACGCACGTCCACGCATGGGGGCCCGTGACGAGTCGACGACGCCGACGGGGCTCTGGAGTTGACTTCCTCTCGAGCCACGCGCATACGAGCCGCACTGGGAGCAACGGTTGCCGCTTGCGACTCGCAGGCTCGCGTCGTTACAGCAGCAGGCTCTGCCGCGGCCCCGCGAGGTGCGCTGGGAGTAGCCCACTGCGGGCAGGAGAGCGTCCGGCGACAAGATGGCGACGACGTGCACGACTGCTCGCAGGCGAGCTCGACGGCGACGGACGGCGTCGCGCACGACTGCGTGCGCACGAGAGTGGGCCGGCGGGGACTGCTGCCGTGGCAGGCGGCATCCCAATAGTAGAGACGGCGCTGGAGGCGGGAGGGAGAGGAAATGGCGGCGATGGGGTTGAGAGACGAGGAGGCGGGGTGGATGGTGCAGTCGCAGCGCGTGGAGACGAGCGATGAGTCCGTGCTGGGAGCGGCCGGATGGAGAACGACGTTGGATGGAAGCACGGGCAAAGAGCTGGTCTTGAGCAGCGACGAGGGGGAGAGAGCACCGCCCATACTGGCTGACTGACACGAAGAACCTTGAAGCTGGGCCATCTAGAGTAGTTCGATCAGAATTATACGACGGAGAGACACCCAGGGCAATAAAATGTAGTGCTGCTGAAGAATGAATTGGTTCGAAGGGTCATGTTTGTGGGTCGAATTGGGAAAGACCTCAAGCCAGGGCTTCTTTATCTGCCTCAAAAGCTTCCATTAGGGGATACAACGGCCCTGGACGGAAAGCAGAGAAAGCGGGCCCGCCACAGGCTTGGGGTTGCTGTTGCAGACGAATTGCGGGAGGTGGAGGCATAGATGAGGCCATAGTTTCCCGTCAACCGCCATGTGCGCGGTCCTAGCACTGCTCCGCGCATCATGCAAGGGAGGGGAGTAACAGTGAGTACACATGCACTCAGCGACGGGGAAAACAGTGCGTGCTTGTGGCAGCATTCGGAACTTGTGTTTTCCGAAGGGACCCGTCCTACCTGAGTTGGACAATCGAAACAAAATTAACTTCTACATGCCGTCGTGTGAACTGAAATCATTGGCTGCTTTCTGTTTTGGCATGAGGTACAAAGCTGTAATCTACACTTCAATCTGCCCTTCACAACTGTAGTCCAAAATCAGGGACCTTTTTCCCTGATTGGAAGATATACTGTTGTTCGGTAAACAAATCACCATCTCAAAACACAATTCCACGGACAATAGTGGCTGATAAGAAACTGGCTAGGCTATTGATTCAACAATACCACCACCACCATACGATTTGATACCAGCAATGAGTAGGATTTTCACCGGAAAAGGCTCATTGCACCGGAAAAGGCTCATTGCTCCTACGTAAACTAGAAACTTAGCGAATTTCCCACACCACCCCCTTATCAAAACTCTGTCTGCCGTCTCTCACCACATTATCTCCCCTCCCCTCGTCCGCTTCACCTGCCGCTGCAGCGCTGCCACTTACGCCGGCGCCGCAGAGGAATCCAGGCTGTCCCACACGCCAGTGAGGTCATACTTGCTGGGTGCTGCTGCTGCCGGCACGCCACCCAGCCCTGCTGCTACAGCCGCTGCTGCTGCCCCTGCCGCCTCGGGGAATGCATCCCAAATGCGGATGGCGCCCGTGTGCGAGCCGCTGCACATGCGGCCATAGTCCAAATCCACTGCCACGTGCCGCACCTTTGGAAAGAATCGAAGGAGGGGTGAGGGGGAAGGGAAGAGCAGGTAAGAGAAATGCTGGACATGGAGAGGGCGTGGCGGGCTCAGGCCGTGTGGCAGTGACAGAGAGAATCATATGATATGGGCAGGGGTGAGCGCACAAGTGAGAAACCACAACAGAGAACTATGGAAGGGAGAGGCATCTTGGTTCATTACTTCCGGCATGTTGGCCCCTTCTTGCTGACAGCCCACGTGGAGGGGTAAGCACACGAGTCAGAAATCAGAGTAAAGAGCTGTGGAGGGGAGGAGTGTCTGACTCACCTCATCGGGCAACCATCTTGCTGACAGCCCACGTGGAGGGGTGAGCGCACAAGGGAGAAATCAACACAGCGCACTTTGGAGGGGAGAAGCATCTCGGCTCACCACATCAGGCATGTTGGCAACCATCTTGCTGACAGCCCACGTGGACGGGTCACCGCCGCCACTGCCTGTGCCGCCAACGCGGCCATCAGCGTCGGTGAATTCGAGGAACATGAGCTGGTTGCTGGCCGTGGCCACCCCCGTCACCTCGTCCATCAGCCGCACCGCCACCACTGCTTCTGATGATGACGACCCACTCGTCTCCTGCGGTATGTACTGGTCTGTTGGTTGGTGTGGGGTTGCAGGGGAGGGGGTGGCGGGGTGTGGGGGCGTGGAGGAGGGAAATGAAGAGTGGAAAATGAAAGTAGTTATGTTTGAGGCGACTCAGAAATGACCACCCACGAGCCATCAGCGGCGGTGGCCACGCCTGTGACCTCGTCCATCAGCCGCACCGCCACCACCGCCTCCGATGATGACGACCCACTCGTCTCCTGCGGTATGTACTGGTCTGTTGGTTGGTGTGTGGGGTGGGAGGGGGAAGGGAAAGCAGAGGGAGAGAGGTAAAAGAGTGGAGAGTGGAGAACGAAAATTGTGTGGCTGTGGCTCCCTGCAGGATCACCGCCTCCTGCCTGTGAATTGCGGTGCCACGACCATGTGAATGAGCTGTGGACAACACCACCAAGGATGCAGCACACATGCACTCACCGTCCTCCTTCTTCCAGATGCGGACCATGCCGTCTGCTGTGACCTTTGTGTCGTTAAGAACCTGCAGAGACGCACACATGCACACATGCATGCACGTACGCACACCCGCGCACGTGCACTCACCGTCCTCCTTCTTCCAGATGCGGACCATGCCGTCCGCCGACCCGGTGGCGAGGCGGTGCGACGACGTGCAGTAGTCCATGGTGCTCACTGCCCCTCCGTGGGCGGTCAGGATCTTCTCACAGTCGCCCGTCTCCACAGACCAGATCTTGGCCGTCCAATCGTGGCTGCCCGTGATGATGATGTCCTTGTTGACCAACACACAGCTGCCACGTGGCCATGCCGAGGGGTTGGGGAAAGAGAGAGGGAACTCACGAGGACAAGAGCGGGCAAGAAGGCAAGAGGGCACGATGGCAAGAGGGCAAGAGCATGAGAGGGGGAAAGGGAGGTGAAGCATGGTGGGATGCCCAGGGTGATAACGGAAAGGAAGTGGAGAAGAAGGTAGCGAGGACAAGAGCTGCAGTGGCATTGACAAATGACAGCCGGTAAAGGCAAAAGCGGGTGCATCCAGCAGAGTCAGGGCGAATCAGTCATGTGATATGATGGGCACAGGGCTGCTTGAGGGGGCGCGCACCTGACCCAGTTGCTGTGTGCCTCGAGGAAGTGCATCTCCCTGCCCGCCCTCATGTCCCACACCCGCGCCGTGCTGCCGTTCAGGAAAGGGAGATAGGGGCAAGACCGGGTGAGAGGGGGCGAGAGGGGGCCAGAGAGGGGAGGATGAGCGGAGCGACGACTGATGAGTGTGTGGATGGAGAAGACGAGAGGTGTGGGTAGGGCTAGGGAAGTGGGCAAGCAGGGTTGCGCTGAAGGGATATGCAGCTAAGGAGCAAGGGGAGGAACAAGGAGAGAGGCGAGGGGAGGAACACGGAGAGGGGGGAGGAGAAGAGTGAGGAGAGGAAGAAAGGAGAGGAGTGAGGAATGGAGGGCGGGGACGAGGAAGGGGAGGAGCGGAAGCAAGGCATGGGTGGGGGATGTATGTATGCTGAGAGCCCTCAGACCCGGCCCAGCCAGGCACGCACATACCCGTCAGTATGTCCCGTGGCGATCAGCCCCCCTGCATCCTCGTGCCAGCTGAGGCACAGCACTGCAACGCCCTGTGCGGGCTGCGTTAAGAGTCGACCTCAAACACCCGTCACGCCCAGCCCAGCCACGCACACACATACCCGTCAGTGTGCCCTGTGGCGATGAGCCCCCCCGCGTCCTCGTGCCAGCTGAGGCACAGCACGGCAGCGCCCTGGGAGGGCTGTGCCACGGTGAGAGCGCGGCGGTGCGAGCGCATGTCCCACACCTCCACCAGCCCGTCCAGCCCTGCTGTTACTGCTGCACTGCGCGCGAAGCCCGAGAGGAATCGCACACAGGAGATCTGTGGGGAAGGGGTGGGGAGGGGGGGGGGGGGGGGGGGGGGGGGGCCCAGGGACGGGAAACGGAGGGGGGTAAGGGAGAGGGTGGCATGGGGCGCAGCGCAGTACCACACCTCCACCAGCCCGTTCAGCCCAACTGTCACGGCTGCACTGCGCGCGAACCCCGAGAGGAAACGCACACACGAGATCTGTGGGTGGGTGGAGAAGAAAGGAAAGAGGAGACAAGGGGGAAGGAGCCAGTGTGGGGGTTTGACGAGGGTGGGTTGAAAAAATGCAGGAGGGAGAGGCGGATCCAGCAATGGCATACAGTGGGGCGGTAGGAGCAAAGGCATGCCCAGCAGCAGCAGGGTAACCTCAATCCCACTGCCCTGCACAATCCCACCCCACGGACGGGCATTCACAGGAGCGGGCTGCCAAGGCGGGCACTCACAGGGGCGGTGTGGGCGTCGAGGGTGGCGAGGGGCAGTGACGTGCGCTTGTCAAAGTGAAACACCTTGCCGTCGTCCCCCCCCGACAGAATGCTGCTCGCATTCGATGATATGGCTCGCACCGTGCTGGGAGGAAAAATGGGGGAAAGGGGAGAAGAGCGGAAGGGGAGAAGTGAGGATTTGGAGGGGGGGGGGGAGGTGAGACAGCAGGTGGTGGCAGGGAGAGCGGGAATGAGGCAGCAGGAATGGATGGGCGGGAGATCTGATGCGGAGGTGCGTGAGTGTGAGGCTGAAAGGGCAGGGCAGGCACCAGCACTGAGTACACTCTCTACTTGATTGCCCCGTTCCCCCGGATTCACTCCACACCCTCTCCCCTCATGCCCCCGCCCCCTCCCTCACGCACAGCCTCCCATGCACCCCACCCCCTCCCCATGCTCTCTCCTTCCCATCAGCCCCCGGCACGCACCCCTCGTGACCTCGCATGGTGGCGCGCATCTCTGCTCCCACACGGTTCGCACTCCACAGCTTCACCTGCCGGCCCCACACACATGGGGACGAGGGAAGACCGTTGGGATTGGATGTTGCAGAGGAATCAGGAGAGCGGCAGAAGAGAAGGGTAGATTGAGTGGGGGGTAGAGGATGGTGAGACTGGAGAGCGGAGGGGATAGAAAAATGGTAGAGGTCAGGGAAGGGCCATGAACGCACAACGCAAGGCAGTACCTCGCTTAACTCACGATGCAATCAAGAATACCCCCCCCCCCCCTTACTCACGGTGCAGTCAGCTCATAACTCACGGTGTGGTCAGCAGAGCCGGAGACGAAGTAGCCGGCGTCATCACAGCCGGAGAGCAGGTCGCCCAGGTCGCTCACCGACCCCACATGCAGCGCTGTCACCGCTGCACTGTGCCCTCTCAGCACCCGCACGCCCGCCTCGCCCTCCCCCCTCGCCTGGTGGTGCACCGGCTCTGAGGGACGGGCGCACAGGGGTGGGGGTAGGGAGGATGGGAGTAGTGGCACGGATGGCGGAATGTGGGAGGGTGGGAGATTTGAAGGGGATGATGAGGGGATTGGGAGAGGCGTTGAGGGGGGCGATCAAGGTAGGTGTGATTGTGATGCGATGGTGCTGACAACGATGGTGCTAACAACGATGGTGCTGACCACGCGCATGTTGAATCAGGACAAGAACAGCGATGGCATGGCACTGGTTGTGCAGATAATGCAACCACCCTGCACCCACCTGCTCTCACGAGGCGGTCTGTCCGGCGGTCAAGCCCATCCGCCTTGCCCTTGCCTCTCGGACTCGTCATCCCCCCTCCCCCACCCTTGGGCGTCGTGGTCGGCGCTCCCTTCCCCCCGACATCAAAGTTCACGCCCCGCCGCCCCGCCTTGCTCTTACTCCGCGACAGACCCTTATGCTGCACCGCACCCCCTCCCTCCCCCTCCAGCGTGTTATTACTGTCCACTCGCGCCATGCCGTCCGCCCCTGCCCCTGCCCCGCCCCCGCCCTTGAGGCGAGCGGCCTGCTCCATCTTGGGGGCGATGCGCGGTGCCAGCGCCATCATGAGCGCCAGGCGTGGCGGGCCGTAGAAGCGGAACTTGAGTTGAATGAGGGACAGCTGGCCTCGCAGCAGGTTCTGCGGTGAGAGATGGGGAGTCAAGGGGAGGGTAGGGGGAACGTTTGGGTGAGTAAGGCGCTGGTTGGTGGTGTGGCGGGCTGTAGAAGCGGAAACGAGACGGGGAATGGAATTCAGGAGGAATGCGTGAGTGTTGTGCTGCGCTGCGCGCGCACCCTCACTAAGCATTGACAGCTTCTCCCTGCAATCAATGAAAGCTCCACCCATCCACCATTCACCCATCACACCATTCATCCATCCACCCCCCCTTCCCCAGCCACCTCCCCCACCGCATTCCTTCCCCTTTCCCCTCCCTCCCCCCGTCCAGCAGCACCTGGCGCTTCTCTCGGAGGCCGTGCTCGCTGGCGAGGTGCAGCAGCATCTTCCACGTCTCCTTGTCCGCTATTCCCAGCTCCACCTGCGAGAGCAGGGGAGGGGAGAGGGGAAGGAGGGGGAGGGGAGTGAATAGATGGAGGAACAGAGGGCGCACAGGTGCAGCAGCATCTTCCACGTCTCCTTGTCCGCTATTCCCAGCTCCACCTGCCATGAGGGGCGGGGAGGTTAAAGGTTGGGGAGAGAGGGGAGGGGAGTGGAGTGACTGGACGGAGTGACGAATGGAGGGACAGGCATATGGAGGCAGCATGCACGTGGGGTTGTGACAGGCTGAGCTGAGCACAGGCAGGCAGGGAGTAGCAACTCATGGGAGTTGAGAGTCTAGGGAGCAGAGCAGGCATGGCAGGGACATGCGTTTGAGGCGCCGAGTGAGAGGGCGACCACAGGTAGACTGGGGGGTGGAGGAATCGAGGCGGAGAGGTGGGTGCGCGGGAAGGGAGGTGGGGCGGGGAGAGGAATGAGGTGGGGCGGGGGAGGAAGAGAGGTGGGGCAAGGGTAAAGGGAGGTGGGGAGTTGGGGGAAGGGAGTTGGGACGGGAGGGACAGGGAGGTGGGGCGAGGGGAGAAGGGAGGCGGGCGGGTGGGTACCATGTGGAAGGCGCAGGCCTTGAGTGTGAGCATGACCATCTGTGAATAGTTGCCAAAGGAGCTGTTAGGAGTCAGAGGGGAGGGGAACGGGGGAGGGGAAGAAGGGGGAATGGGGAATGGGAAAAGGAAGAAGGGGGGATCTGGAGATGAGGAGGTGAGGAGGGGTTGGAACAAATGTGGGGAAGGTGTGAGGGCGAACAGTGGGGCATGCGAGCGGTGCGGGCAAATGATGCGGGGGGCAGACCAGAGGATGTTGGCAAGGGGGGCAGCAGGACAGAGACGTTGCAGAGTCTGAATGGAAGAAAGCAGGGAACGAGGAGAGGGAGGGAGAGGAACGGAGAGCATAGAGGCAGTGTAGACGGGAGAGGGGCGAGAGTGGGGGAAATGGCTTACTCTTCTCCAAGCTCCTGCATGCGCTGCTCAAAGAGCTCGTCCCATAGGCTGCAGAGACAAGATGGGGGGGGGGGGAGTGGAGCATGTGCATCATTGCATGGCACGGCGGGCAAATTTCGGGCGAAATGAAGGGAAAAATCTGGGTACTGACACACGAGGTGGACTGAAGGGATCAAACTGCTGGAAAAGCTTGTGCCTGTGAGTGTACTGCAGCCTCGCTGGCACGACGACTCGCCCCTGCAATCAACTCACGCCTGCGAGTGCCAGACGTGCAGGGAGCCGAGGTAGCGGCGCATGAAGTCGAGCATGCCGAACTCGTCCCGGAAGTAGATGCGCCCCGCTATCTCCAACAACCCCCCCGCCACCTGGTAGTCCCTCCTCTCCCCCGCCCTCGATGCCGCCACCAGCATCTGATGCAGGGGGGGGGAGGGGAGGGAGAGAGGGAAGATGTGGCAAAGGAGGAGTGAGGGGGGAGATGGGAAAAAAACGAGAGAGTGGGAGAGAGAAAAAACCAAATGGGACTGATTCAGGTCACCAGGGCATGCCCTTGACCCTCCCTCTCCCACCCACACCCGGCACACCACTCCTCGCTCCAGCTCCTCACCATCATCACCACCCCAATGCCGCAGCCCCTCAGCGCCCCTCACCCCAGCTCCCCCCAGCACCTGTCAGGCCAGGCACTCACCAGCTCACGACACGCCATGAACATCTCTCGAGTGAGCTCGCCCGACCACCCCTGCACACACACACGCACACAGACAGGCAGGCACGCAGGAGCGGCAGAGAGGGGAGAGAGGGAGCTACTAGTGAGGAACTGGGGGCGAGACAACTACAAGGGCGGGATGTGGAGGCAGAAAAAAGGCAGCAGAGGAGAGGGAGCGAGGCAGGCAGGCAGTGGTGGGTGAAGGGCGCGAGGGGAGGGGCAGGGAGGGTAGGGACGGGTGGGGAGAGGAGAGGAGAGGAGAGGAGAGGGTGGAGGGGCGTACGATGGTGATGTTCTCCTCCAGGCATGCGAGGAAGCTGGAGCCCCCAAAGCCCTCAGGGTCCGACTCGATCATTCCTGCATGCAGCACGGCACAGCACACAGCACAGCACGGCACGGCACAGCATGGGACAGCATGGGTGAGGCATTGAACGGTGAGGATTGAGAGGTCAGGATCCAGGGGAAGATGTGGGGAGCAAGGAGGGGGGGGAAGCGGAAAGCGAAGTTGTGGGGGAGGAGTTGAGGGTTGGGCTGGGGTGGGGTGCGGTGGGGTAGGGTGGATACCGTAGATGGTGCCGTAGTGCTCTGATCCCATGGGGTGCTCGCCCGGAGGTAAGCCTCTTAGTTGGTCCCATAGTTGCTGCGCTCATGCATGCATGCACATAACAACATGCAGACAGGCATATGAACATGGAAGTGCATGCACAAGCACACATCCACATGAAAAATGCATGCGCATACCCAGGCACACAGGGATACAGGTGAAGAAATGAGCGTTGAAATGCAAGGACAAAACAACAAATGTGAAGGGGATGCAGAACCGCAGGGGCTAGAAGGTGTTAGACAAAGGTGATTCAACGAGAACGGGCAGGGAGGCAATGAGAGGCGGGGAGGGGAGGGAGGTGGTGAGAGAGGGAGGAGGGGAGCAGGGAGCACTCACACAGAGGCGCACTTGAGTGTCCACCTTCATCATTTCCCTTTGCGCCTGCCCACGTAGCACACGGGACACGAGAAAGCGGAGGAGGGGGGGGGGGGGGGTGGGGGGAAGGAAGTAGAGAAACACGAGTCTCAGGCGCCGTGGCGAGGAGTAAGGGAGGGGCGGAGGAGAGGGGGAGGGGGGCGGAAGGGGAGAGGGGGGGGTTGCTGCTGCCTCTGCATGGAAGCAGAGGCGGCTGCTCACGCTAATCCAACTGAATCCTCACTCTACCACCCTGCCACACTCCACCCTCCCTTCCCACTCGCCCATCTCACTCTCTACACCTCTCCATTCCACGCACCCAGCCGTCTTTCTTTACGCACGCCCTCCTCGCCTTGACCACCTCCCTCTCACTCACACCCACGCACCCAGCCGTCTCGCACTGAGGCACGCAAGTGCACATGCATGCATGCACGCACGCACATGCACGCACACAACCAAGCCCCCTTCCACGCCCACCACACACCCCCACAAACCCCGCCCTACACGAGCACACACTGCACGCACCCCTCGCTCCTTGGAGCTGCGAGTGCGGCCCAGACGGCGCTCCTTGAGCCACGCCCTCATCGCCTTCTCCACCGCCAGACTGCCCTCGCCCGCCCAGGGGGGGAAGGAGAGAGAGAAGGGGAGAGCAAGGCATGCACCATGGGAGAGAGTGGTGGAGGGCAGAGCAATGAGGTGAAGGGTGTCATTGAGCAGATCATGCCTGCTCCCCCATGGCTGGGCCAACACCCTACACCGCTACAGCTGACACAGAGGACACGCACGCACCACGCGCACCCACGTGCAACCAGTGCACTCACACACACGGCGTGCACCCACATGTACGGTGAGCCCCATGCACCCACACGCACGCACCTTCTGGCCTCCTGCTCGCCGCCTGCCTTCTCGTTGTTGGGGAAGCGCTGGTACACGTACCGCCCCACCGCTCCCCGCTTCGCCGCTGGGGTGGGGCAGGCGGGACAACGGGGTCATGGAGAAGGGGATGTGTGAGGTGCGGGACATGGAAGGGTTGAGTTGCGGTTTTGTGCATGCATGAGTTGGACGCATTGAGCTGGGCGGGTTTCGTGAGTTGCGGTTCTGGAATGCTCATGGCTTGGCACTTGCTGATTGTGCCTTTGAGTGGCTTTTACAGCCGACTCGAATTTTGAACCATTACCAGAGCTGCAACTTTTTGGTTGGGGGATTGAGTAACAGCAGGCAGCACCTGGCAGCACTGGCAGGATCTGGCAGAACCTGGCAGCACCTGACAGCACCTAGCAGCTCGCGCCTGGCTGGCAGCGATGGCAGCACCTGGCAGCGCCAACAGCACCTGGCAGCGATGGCAGCACCTGGCAGCGCCAACAGCACCTGGCAGCACTAACAGCACCTGGCAGCACTAACAGCACCTGGCAGCACTAACAGCACCTGGCAGCACTAACAGCACCTGGCAGCACTAACAGCACCTGGCAGCACTAACAGCACCTGGCAGCACTAACAGCACCTGGCAGCACTAACAGCACCTGGCAGCACTAACAGCACCTGGCAGCACTAACAGCACCTGGCAGTACTAACAGCACCTGGCAGCACTAACAGCACCTGGCAGCACTAACAGCACCTGGCAGCACTAACAGCACCTGGCAGCACCTGGTAAATGTCGACGGTGACGAAGTCGGTGGGAGGCGGGAGGGGGGATTGTGATGGCAGGGTGGCAGTACCTAGCAGCAGTGGGAGCACCTACCTATAGGACAGCACACACCTGGCAGGGCCTGGTAGATGTCGACGGTGAGGAACTCGGTGGGAGGCAGCGTGGGGAGCGTGATGGCAGGGTGGCAGCAGTACCTAGCTGCAGTTGAAGTACCTACCTACCTGGTATATATGACAGCGCACACCTGGCAGGGCCTGGTAGATGTCGACGGTGAGGAAGTCGGTGGGGGGCAGCTGGGGGATTGTGATGTGCGGGTGGCAGTACCTAGCAGCGTGGGAGTAGTACCTACCTATATGACAGCACGCACCTGGCAGGGCCTGGTAGATGTCGACGGTGAGGAAGTCGGTGGGGGGCAGCTGGGGGATTGTGATGTGCGGGTCCTTGTTGTGTGCTCGCTGCATGATGGCATCAAACTGCGTCAGCTCCTCGGGCGACTGCGCCAGCTCGCACTCAAAGAAGTTGTGCCACCCCAGCGTTGATAGCATCGCCTCTATCTGCCTTGCATGTAGGGACAACAAGCGGGCCGGGAGAAGAGGGGGTGTTAGGAGAGCGGGGTGGAGGGGAGGGAGGGGGAGTGTGGAACGGGGGAGGGGCAAGCAGCGGAAGGGGTGTGGGGAGTGAGAGTAGGATGCTGGTGTCTCGGTTGTAAGACACCGACATACGGGTCATACTTGTGCATTGCTTGCTGTCTGGATTCTCCAGAAAATATCCAAATGCCTGTCAAGCATGAGTAGTGTGGGAGATGGTCGGGGAGTAGGGGGGCGTGGAAGTGTGGGGTTGCCTTTTGAGGCGCCTCAAAGGTTGTAAGGGGGGGTACGTACGAAGGGCTCGGTGGCATGGTCGTAGAGCTCGGAGCGGCGCAGCAGGAAGCTGAGCTTGTCAAACACCAGCTTGCCCGCCTCAAAATGATCCTCCATCTGCCACCCCGCACCGCACCGCACCGCACCGCACGCAGGGGACATGCAAGGGGCAAGCGGAAGGTAGGAGGTGGAGGAGGATTTTGGGCATGAGAGAGTGGGTGTGGGGTATGGCAGGTGCAAGACAGCACAGCAGTGACACAGCCTGGATGGGGCCACACAGTGGGTGTTGTGATGCCACCAGGGAGCAGTGGATGGACGGAGGGCAGTGCGATGTGTGAGTGAGTGAGTGAGTGAGTGAGTGTGTGAGTGAGTGTGTGAGTGTGCGAGCATGCGAGTGTGCAGGAGCACACACCACGAAGTCCTTGTAGCCATGCAGCACGGACGCCAGGAAGCGCAGGAACAGCTGCCTGCACACGGTGAGCAGCACAAGATGCGGGCATGTAGGGAGCATGTAGGGGGCATGTAGGGAGCATGTAGGGGGCATGTAGGGAGCATGTAGGGGGCATGTCAGGAACATGTTGGAGGCATGCGGTGGTATGGGTTCAGCTCAAGCATGTGAGTTGAACAGTTGGCATCAAGGCAGAGCGACAAGAAGAGAGCTTTGCTGCTATGCCACAACAGCATGCATCAAGGCAAGCCCACCTGACCTGCTCGCCATGCTGCCACCCGTGCTGCCTTGCTCACCTGAACTGCTCGTCGTGGTGCCGCCCCCACGTTTTGAACGTCTTCTCGTCAAACTGCTGCACGCCAGCAGCGAGCAGCGGCGAGCGGTGGTGCCGCACGGACTCCAGCACGGCCAGGTGCGGGTGGATCAGCGCGTGCAGCGCTGCTCTCAGCTCTGAGGCCTCGGGCTCGGGGAGAGGGGGAATGTCCTCCTCCTCCTGCTCGCTCTCCAGACTCATCATGCGCATTCGGTTCGTGTCTAGATCTACCAGCACCACCTGCGAGAGGGGCGGGAGGGGGGGGAAAGGGAAGGGGGGGGGAAAGGGAGGGGGCTTTTAAGTTGACTCAAGCCGGATGTCCTCCTCCCCCTGCTCGCTCTCCAGACTCATCATGCGCATTCGGTTCGTGTCTAGATCTACCAGCACCACCTGGAACAGGGGTAGGAGGAGGAGGGGTGGGGATAGGAGCACAGGAGGGAGTGAGGGAGGAAGGAGGGGGAAGGGGGAGAGGAGCCAGCCTTTGGTATAACCGCTGCACGTGGCGTTTGCTGTGTGCAGCACAAGGGGGCGCACATAACGCTTTTCCAAATGCGGGTTCACTAACCACTAATTATGACCATAAAACGTGCACCAACAACTCGCTCCCTTGGCCGCTGGCAAGGCAACCAGACCATGTGCCGCGATGACCCTCCCTTTGACTGCTCAGTGCGCACCGCCCCCCCTTCCGGCAGCTAATAGCCCTAATGTCTACCTGCTACCCAGCCCCATCAGTCCTGAAGTGGCAAGGCGGTGGTGGCAGTGAGTGAGGCACCGACCCCATCGAGCTCGTCCTGCAGTTCGAACTCGGACGTGTTGATGCCGTAGATGAATATGCCCGGCGGGAAGGGGTGCAAGAACCCATTACCGACCGACTAGACCTAGAGTGGCAAGGCGGTGGAGGCACTGACCCCATCGAGCTCGTCCTGCAGTTCGAACTCGGACGTGTTGATGCCGTAGATGAATATGCCCGGCGCGTGCAGCAGCTCCAGCAGTGGCAGCGGCAGCACCGGGATGTACGGCAGCTGGGGGAGAGACGGGGGGGAGGGGAAGGGGGACGGGAGAGAAGAGGAGGTCGTACAGTGCAGAGCAGATAGGCGCTTTGCCTTTTGCATTCAGCATCCCACACTTGGCAAGATGCTGCACAGCGAATGCCCCTGGTGCTCTCAAGTGGGAGGCTGGTGGTGGCCGTGGTGAGCGCAAGCGATCGGTGACATAAAATAAGGGCGTGCGCAGCAGGCAAGCTACTATGGCGGGTGCATTCACAACTAGGTAGGACTACTGCCGTGCCTCTCAAGGAAACTCAAACCACCACTGCCCGTGCTCATCCTCCCTGACCTTCCAGCCTACTGTGTGTCACCGTTGCTCACCATCCACTTGTAGGGGTACAGCAGGCCTGTCACCGCCTCCGCCACGTTCGTCAGTAGCTTCAGCCTGAGGGTGGCGAGGCGGGCAGCACAGGCGAGAGGAGAGGTGGGCAGGGGGGAGTAGGGAGCACGGCGCAGGCAGAATGCGGAATGGATAGCGGGAGGCACGTGAAAATTGTGGTTCTCCTTCGCAGGCATTGCCACTCACTCATGTGAACACAAGCCACATCGATTCCAGAATGGAGATACTCACATGCCTCCGAGCAGCAGCACTCTTCTCTCCAGGAGCACGGCTGTGAAGAGCTGGATGATGTTGTCAATGTCGAGACAGCTTACAAGGGGGAAAAACGACACCTGAAGGTGCGTGAGAGAGGAAAGGCAGCATGTATGGAGATTGAGGGAGGGCCGACTGCACTTGATTCTGGCTGGGACGAGAGCACAGCCTTGTGGGAAAGCGTTATCCCATCAGACACCGTGATCATGGTGATGCATGGTTCGAGAGTGAGAGAAGCCACAGGTGCAAGGCAGCAGACACATGGTGGTGATCCCAGGAGCCATAACGGCTCCAAACCAAAGCACCATCCATCGCAGTGGGTACATGGTATGGTGGGGAGTAAGGAAGGGCACTGACGTGTGAGGAGGGGAGGGCTTGGGGGTCGGGCAGAGTGGTGGAGAGCACAACGCTCTCAACGCTGAACACCACCGTCTGCTGTGGGCCTGACGGCAGCGGCACCGACATCACCCCCGCTATTATGTCCCATATCGGCCGCCTGCCATGCCACGCCATGCCGTGCCAGGACATTCCATGCCATGCCGTGCCATGCCAGGACATTCCAAACCATGCCATTCCCAAGCCATGCCATGCCATGCCATGCCATGCCATGCCATGCCATGCAGTGACATGCCAGCAAGCCACACCAGAGCATTCGATAGGGTTGATGACTTTGTGCAATGTGATGGGCAGAGAACGCTGAGAGGGAGCAGCTTTGCACCCGAGTAGGAGGGGGTTATTCAAGGCATGAGAATGGACCATCGGTGAGGGCCAAGAGAGAACACAAGCGCTGCCACAAAATGGAAGTGGAGGAAGAAGAGGGAGGGGAGGGAGGGGAGGGAGGGGAAGGAAGGGAGGGAGGCCAGGTGGGGCAGGAAGGGCAGCGAGGGGAGGGAGGGCAGGCAGGGAGGGCTGTGAGGGAGGGAAGAGTGGGTAGGTAGGGAGGGCACTGACGGGCTGCCGAGTGGTTGGAAGGCGAGGCGGTGGATCTCAGTGAGGAGGTCGGAGAAGGTGTCGAGGAACGGGTAGTGCGACACCACGCAGAGGCACTTGTCCGCGTACGAGTTGGGCGGGATGGAGTACGCCTGTGCCACGTCATCGTCCACCAGATCACGGAATGCCAGTACTGACACGAACACCTTGGTGCCGTCGCCCTCTAGGGAGGGTTGGGGTGCGGAGGGAGGAGAGGTAGTGTGGGGAGGAAAAGAGTAGGCAGAGCGTGAGATGGTGCACGGAGGAGCAAAGGGCTCTAAAGGCGCGGAGAACGGGATTCTCGGACGAGACAGCTGAGGCGTGACGACTCTCCCTGGCTGGCGCACGTGTGTGCCGCGACGCTGCGTGCGGACACGTGAATTTGAGATTCTGGCATTCGCGCATGGGCGCGGGAACTGCGACGGCCCAGGTTATGGATGTGAGGGCGAAAGGGTGCGGGAGGGAGCGAGAGGCGTACCGGTAAGGATGATGGGGTAGGATCGCGGGAACGACAGCGGCTCGTCCTGGTTGGCGCCGTGGCTGTAGAAGCGCAGCCCGCTGGGGAGCACGGCCTGGGGGGGACGGCGCAAGGGGACGGCACAGGGGGGACGGCACAGGGGGGACGGCACAGGGGCACGGCACAGAGGGACGCGCGGGGACGCAGGGGACCACGTGGTTGGGACGCGGGGGCAAGAATGTCGGGAGCAAGAGGAGCTGTAGAGTAGAGGAGGGTCGCTGCGAAAAGTCGCGGAATGCGGAATCTGCGTGACAGAAGCAGGCGTGCGGCTGACAACCTAGGCGGTACGCAGTCAATCCAGCACTGTACTCTAAAGCATTAACTCCGCCTAAAAGCATAATGTGATTTCTTAGAGCTTGAAAAAGAAGGAAGCTCTCATTGAGAGGATGTCGCACCAACGGTAACATTTCCGGGATCTTGAATTTCTTGTGCTCCTCGGCTGGTAGGCGGTCGATGAGCACTGGCATGTACGAAATGCGCACGCCATGGCTCTTCATGCCGTGGAATCCGCGAGTGCCGTCCATTAACCGAAGGTCCAGACCTAAGCCGCACACTACGAAATAGTCCAGGAATCGCGTCTTCCATAGCGGCCCGTCGGCCACTACAGCTGGAGCTGCCGCGGTTCCAGCTGCAGCAGCCATGTGCGCTGCTTAGTGTGTGCGATGGGAAGTGATCGACTAGGCAGAAATGAGCGGGGAATCAAGTCGGGAGAATGACTAAATGCATCACCAATGCGGATGTTACGAAGCTAAGGAAGGAGGTTTCGCCATGCTGACGACGAAATGGCGGCAATCGGAGTTACGGAGCTACTTCCTACGGCAGCGACGCCGTCGCACGAAATGACCGAGACGTGCAAAAAAACGCTCACGAAATAAGGCTACTCGAGCTCGCGTTGGTTGCCTCGCGAGATACTGCTACGAAATATGGCGGCCGGCCTCCATTATTAGGTTTAGGCAAATTCTGGGAGTAGGCGCACGAGCCTTGGATATCGCCGGGGCTTGGTAAGCTGGGGACATAGATGCAGCAGTATGGTTGGGTTGGGTCATCAGTGAGCGTATAGCGAGTATTGTTGCATCTCGTCTCCTCTGGCATGGGGGTTGGTGAGGGGTGCTGATGGTGTGGACTGGCCAAACTCAGTTAACTGAAGGCATGAGTGAACACTTTATAGCTAAATACACAAACGGTAACGCGCACTTGCAAGCTAGCCAATGCAGGGCTGGCGGCAAGGTTCAGGCTAGGCCAACCCTGCCTTTGAACAGCAGTGTGTGGTTTAGATAAAGTAGCGCGCGATGTAGTGAACGCCGGTAACCAGTTACGGACGAAGAACGGTCGAGCCCATGAACTGTGTAGTACGCGATGAAGTGATGTGCGACGTAAGGGATTTAAAATTTTCCTTACATTACCCCCTTCCCCATGGAAGTCCTCCGCTAAATTGGTGGATGCGGTCCGCGAAATTCCGGGCTCTTGATATACTCCTATATGTCATTAGACCTGCACTGTGAGATCCCTGATTGATCCTATGGGGGTTATAGGTATGTTAGCCCGGGGGGCTTTAGGCGCACGAATTCGCATTTGGAACAAGCCATTTTATCCCAGTGGTCTAGTGGCTGGGATTCTGACACTATAATACATGGTGCTTTTTTACGATGTCAAGGAGCACCCATCTGTCTTCAGTCGGTGTGCGGTCCTTTCAACGAACAAATATTTCAATGTGTCGAGATCCCTGGGGGTGTCAGATCCAATGGCTGAGAATCTTCTCATGGTCGGCTCCAATGCAAGGCGAGTCGTGGATGGTGGTCGGAGACGTGGCAGCTCGCTCGTTTTTATGACATATGGTTGGAGGAGGCTGACGTGGAACGATGGGTTGATGCACCAGTCGATAGGCGAGAGTAGATGGGTGTCAGAATAGTAGCTAGAGGCTAGGGTTTGTGAAGAAAGGGTTTGGCCAAGAGAAGGGGTTGCACTATAGAATGCAGTACAAGTTATAGGAAACGGGGGAGGTGGTGAAGGGAGGTAGACCACCTAAGACAAGATAGGTGATGTCAAATTACAATTGTATCTCTAGGCTACAGTAGGGTCACTCCTTAGTGAGTACAACACTTTAGGGTTAGGTTTCCCCTACTTGTACTCACCTCTTGCCTAGTTCACTCACTCATTCCTAGTTCTATTCTTGACATGGTATCAGAGGAAGGACGGAGTGTCATATCGTGAGTGCCGGGGACAGCCGGAGCACGCGGACGACGAACACGAGGAACACGAGCACGGACAGCAGCTCTAGGCTCAGGCTCAAGGTCAAAGCTAGACACAGGCTCTCGACGCTCAGGGGTGGACGCACGAGTCTCAGGCTCTCGACGCTCAGTCAGGGACTCTGACACCACAGTGTAAGGAGCAGGAGCAGGCAGTGGGGAGTGTGGTAGCAGCGGTGGCTGTGACTGGTCCGCCGGTGGACACAGCAACGGAGGAGTAGTACCTGCCACAGGGAAGCCAGTAGCACCTGGCGGAGGACTGAGAAGGTGGCGAAGAGCACCAGTAGCTCCCGTACCTCCAACACGAGCAGCTCCTCCAGTACCCCCAGTAACACCTCCAGCACCAGTAGCACCAGCACCTCCAGCACCACGAGCTCCGACAGCGCCAGCACCTTGAGCACCAGTAGTACCTCCAGCACCTCCAGTGCCTCCAGCTCCAGTAGCACCTCCTGCACCTCCAGCACCAGCAGTACCACCTGCTCCGGCAGCTCCAGCACCTCCAGTACGAGCACCTCCGGGACCAGTAGCTCCAGCACCTCCAGTACCTCCAGCTCCAACGCCTCCAGCACCAGCAGCACCAGCACCTCCAGGGTCAGCAGCTCCCGCAGCTCCAGCACCAGTAGCACCAGCACCTCCAGTGCCAGTAGCTCCAGCACCTCCAGTAACAGTCGTACCTCCATCACCAGCAGCTCCAGTACCTCCAGCACCAGCAGCAGCTCCAGCACCCCCAGCACTAGCAGCTCCAGTACCTCCTGCACCAGCAGCACCTCTAGTACCTCCAGTAGTACCTCCAGCACCTCCAGCACCAGTAGCACCTCCTGGACTAGTAGCTCCAGCACCAGCAAGACCGTACACTCCACCACCAGGACTGCATCGCAGAACGACCCACACACGAATCGCCTGCGGCGAGAGCGTCTCAAGTAGAGCAGGCTGCGGTGGCTGTCCAGCTCTGTTCCTCAGCGTGTTGCCCTACCGTTACCTCCTGCGTCCTCTCTGCCTGACGTTGCTGACCCTCCGTCTGACCTTGCTCGTGCGTCCAGTCCGACTGTTACTCGCCTTCTTGCTACGGTTGTGATGGACCCTACGTTCTCGTCTCCTGCTGCGTCTGCCCTCGTAGCTGAGCTCGTTGACTTTGCTGCTGTGTACCGCCTAGACTACCTTGCGAGTCTTGTCTCTGACCCTGTCCCTGCCTGTCCTCCGTCCGTCGGGGGTGAGACTGCTCTTGGCTGTACTGCCCTTGGCTGTGACGTTCTTGAGGACAGACAGGAGGAGCTGGAGTGCCTTGCTGCCGCTTCACCCCATCACGCGACCATGCTGCTTGCCCCTTAGGGAGACCCGGATGCACTTGACATCCCCACCCCGCGCTCCTATAGGGAGGCGATTTCGGGTGAGTACTCCTCTCAGTGGCAGACAGCCATGGACGCAGAGATGGCTTCCTGGAAGTCTACAGGCACCTACGTCGACGAGGTTCCCCCACCTGGGGCGAACATCGTCAGTGGCATGTGGATTTTCAGGGTGAAGCGGCCGCCGGGTTCTCCGCCTGTCTTCAAGGCACGTTACGTTGCTCGAGGCTTCAGTCAGCGTGAGGGGGTCGACTTCTTTCAGACCTTCTCCCCCACCCCGAAGATGACCACTCTTCGGGTGTTGCTACACGTTGCAGCTCAGCGTGACTACGAGCTGCACTCCCTCGACTTCTCGACAGCTTTCTTGCAGGGTATCCTTCACGAGGCCATCTGGTTGCGCCGTCCACAGGGCTTCACTGGGTCGTTTCCTGAGGGTACCCAGTGGAGCCTACGGCGCCCAGTGTACGGCCTGCGTCAGGCGCCCCGTGAGTGGCACGACACACTGAGGACGACACTTGCGGCTCTTGGGTTTGCTCCTTCGACTGCTGACCCGTCGCTGTTTCTCCGCACCGACACTACTCTGCCGCCGTTCTACATCCTCGTGTACGTCGACGACTTGGTTTTCGCTACTGCTGACACTGAGGCACTGGCCCTAGTGAAGGCGGAGCTGCAGGAGAGACACACCTGCACTGACCTGGGTGAGCTGCGGAGCTATCTTGGCTTGCAGATCACCCGGGACAGACCACGGCGCACCATCACCCTCACTCAGTCACACATGGTGCACCAGGTCCTTCAGCGCTTCCGCTTCACTTGGTCCTCGCCACAGCCCACTCCTCTGTCTACCGGCCACTCGCTCTCAGCTCCACCTTCGGACGAGTCCGTAGAGCCGAGTGGTCCGTACCCAGAGCTTGTGGGTTGCCTCATGTACCTGATGACGTGCACACGACCTGACCTCGCGTACCCTCTCAGCCTCCTGGCTCGCTACGTGGCACCTGGTAGACACCGAAAGGTGCACTTTGATGCTGCGAAGAGGGTACTGCGTTACTTGTGTAGCACATCGGGCATGGGGCTCGTGCTTGGAGGACGGGGTTCGGTGGTCCTTACAGGACACTCTGACGCTTCTTGGGCCGACGACCAGACGACTCAGCGTTCGTCACAGGGTTACACCTTCAGTCTTGGCTCTGGTTCTGTCTCGTGGAGGTCCGCTCGTTCTTCTTCTGTGCTTGGTTCCAGCTGTGAGGCCAAGATCTACGCTGGGGCCATGGCTGCACAGGAGCTACGCTGGCTGACCTACCTGCTGACCGACTTGGGGGAGCGGCCTCGTTCTCCTCCAGTTCTGTACGTCGACAACAAGGCAATGCTTGCCTTGTGTCGAGAGCAGAGACTGGAGCACCGAACGAAGCACATTGCTCTTCGCTACTTTCTTGCACGTGAGCTGCAGCAGCGTGGTCAGCTGCGCCTTGCTTTCGTGGCCTCTCGGGCCAACACTGCTGATGTCTTCACCAAGGCCCTTGGGTCTGGTGATCATCACCGTTTCTGCACTGCTCTTGGGCTTGTGCCCACTCTGCCTCACATGCTGGTTGCTTGACTTGCTCTTATTGTACACTGCTATATATCTTATACCTGCATGTTTTCTCTTGCTAGGTTGTGATCAGTGTACTGCCTTGCTATTATATACCTCTGCATGTGAACTGGCCTTGTGGCCACTTGCTTGTGCTCAGAATGCGTGGTGACTTTGTGATCCACCCTGAGCTGTGTTCTCTTCTGCAGACTGGTCTTGTGACCGCTTGTTGTGTTTGCTGTCCCCTACTTTGCCTATGGGGGTGTGTCAAATTACAATTGTATCTCTAGGCTACAGTAGGGTCACTCCTTAGTGAATACAACACTTTAGGGTTAGGTTTCCCCTACTTGTACTCACCTCTTGCCTAGTTCACT